AAGAGACCTTGTTTTGGAATGCACAACATCCCTAGGTTGGCTTGGTAACATTAAAGTACTTTTGTGTATTTTTGCATACATGCAAGTGTTAGCATATTTAGCTTTTTTTGGTGTTGAAATGCAAAATCTTGTTATTTTCATTTGGGATATGTAATGTGTACTTAAATGCACTATTTGAGACTCATTTGATGTGTATGTAATGAGACCAATGGCCAAACACCTTTCATTTATGCTTTTTCGTTTCAAGTTTGAGGTTATTTTTGCAAAGTATGCACTTAGGGGCATTTTGGGCATTTCATGTTGAATATAAGCTTTGGTTTTGACATGGTCATTTAGAAAATCATATTTTGGGGGAGTTGCTTCACAAATTTTTTTTAAAAAACTCCATTTTTGCTTCGAAAAACAGGTGTCTTCTCAGATTTTCAGGTGCAGCATTCTAGTTTTTGCACTCTACGATGGATCGCAGATTCGGCGATTGATCGCCAAATCTCATGATCCATCGCAGCTGTACTTTTTCATCCTTCGTGGGCTCGGCGATCGATCGCCGGATTCCACGATCAATCGCAGATGCCCCCGGGCACAATTAAATTTCAGTTTTTATTTGAAAACTTTCAGGTTCCATATCTTTTTCATCCGTACTCCGAAACAGGCGATTCTTGAGTCTAACTTTATTAATTTTTTGTCATCTTTCCAATGGTATGCTTAGTAGCATCTATTTCTATTTGAAATGACCATTTTACCCTTGGTTCATTTCTTGTTGGATTTTGAAACCCTAGCTTCCGTGTTGTTCTTATTTGAGTTCCGTGACTTCATGGGAAGTCACTTTGGTGTCTTAGGGATGACGTACATCTTTAGAGATTTTGTTTTTTATATTTCGCTTCCGCATTTCGGATCCGTTTTTGGGTCAACTTTCGGGTCATCATTAACGCACCGGGTTTGTAAAACTTGGGCCGTCATAATAAATTTGAAAACTAAGTACTAAAATATCAATAAATTAATTTTCAAATACCGAAATTATAAATGTTAGTTGTAGATATAAAAAAAAATACAAAATATGTATATATCTATATCTATATCTATCTATACTATTATTAAATGTGCAAAGAGTTTTAGCATTTCAGTATTTATTATTAATATAAAAAAATATTTATTAATACAAAAGAGTTTTTTATAAAAAAATTACCAAAAAAATTATTTAATGAGTTAAATAATAAAATTCAAATCACTACTTTCAATTTACCTAATAAAATTCAAATTACAAATTTCCTAATGAAATTCAAATTGCTTATTTATCTATTTGTTTCTAAAAATATCTATACTATTATTAAAAGAGTTTCTATAAAATTCTAACACAAAATATATAAAAAAAATATTACCTATTTCTAAAAAAATCTATACTAATATTAAAAGAGTTTCTATCTAATAAAATTAAAAACATCACTTTCAAATTACCTAATAAAATTCAAATTACAAATTACCTAATAAAATTCAAATTACCTATTTATCTATTTGTTTTTTTAAAAAATCTATATTATTATTAAAAGAGTTTCTATAAAACTCGAACACAAAAAAAATATGGAGTTTTTATACAGAGAGTTTTTATAAAACTCTAACACAAATTACTTATTTATCTATTTGTTTATAAGAAAAATATTTATTCATCGATATAAAAAGAGTTTAATTCAAATTACAAATTATCTAATAAAATTCAACTTAAACTCAATCACTACTTTCAAATTACCTAATAAAATTCAAATTACAAATTACCTAATAAAATTCAAATTACCTATTTATCTATTTGTTTCTGAAAAAATCTATATTATTATTAAAAGAGTTTCTATAAAACTTTACCACAAAATATATAAAAAAAATATTTATTAATTGATATAAAAAGAGTTTAATTAAAATTACAAATTACATGATAAAATTCAACTCAAACTCAATCACCACTTTCAAATTACCTAATAAAATTAAAATTACAAATTGCCTTATTAAATTCAAATTACCTATTTATCTATTTGTTTCTAAAAAAATATTTATTAATTACCTAATAAAATTCAAATAAAAGGAAATCTAATTAGACAAGTATATATTTTAAATAAATAATATAATTTCTATAAAAAACTCTATCACAAATTACTTATTTTATTTTCAATAAAACTCTATCACATATAACATGTGTATATATATATTAGGTTTGTGGTGTGCATATTTATTAATTGATGTTTAGAAGTAGTTACAGATTAAAATAAATAAGTGACCATTTAAAATAAAATAAGTAATTATTTAATAAAATAATTTACCAAATAATAAAATAAATTACCAATTAAAATTAAATAGGTGAGTTTTTAGTTGAAATTAAATGAAGATGTTTCAAATCATTAAATAAATTACCAATTAAAAATAAATAGGTAATTATTTAATGGAAATTCAATCAAGATATTTCAAATCATTTATAGATAGAATAATATAATAATTTACCAAATAATAAAATATGTTACTAATTAAAATAAATCATATAAGTTATCAATTAAAATACAATAGGTAATCATTTAATAAAATAATTTACCAAATAATAAAATAAATTATCAATTAAAATTTAATAGGTAATTCTTTAATTGAAATTCAATCAAGATGATTCAAATCATTTATAAATAAAATAATTTACCAAACAATAAAATAAGTTACCAAATAAAATAAATCAGGTAATCGTTTAATTAAAATTCAATCTAGATGTTTCAAATCATTTATAAATAAAATAATAAAATAAGTTACCAATTAAAATAAAAAATATAAATAATCAATTAAAATAAACAAGTTACCTATTAAAATAAAATAGGTAATTATTTAATAAAATAATTTACCAAATAATAAAATAAATTATCAATTTAAACAAGTTACCTATTAAAATAAAATAGGTAATTATTTAATAAAATAATTTACCAAATGATAAAATAAATTATCAATTAAAATTTAATAGGTAATTGTTTAATTGAAATTCAATCAAGATGTTTCAAATCATTAAATAAATGGGAAACAATACATAGGTAGAGTTAGGAGTCCTAAATAAAAAAATTAAGTAGATAATTGTTTAATTGAAATCTTCCAATCAAGATGTTTCGAATCATTTATAGATAAACTAATAAAATAATTTAGCAAATAATAAAATAAGTCACCAAATGAAATAGATCAGGTAATTGTTTAATTGAAACTTAATCATGATGTTTCAAATCATTAAATAAATTATCAATTAAAATTAAATAAGTAATTGTTTAATTGAAATTCAATCAAGATGTTTCAAATCATTTATAGATAAAAAATAAATTAATTTACCGAACAAAATAAATCAGTTAATTATTTAATTGAAATTTAATCAAGATGTTTCAAATCATTAAATAAATTAACAATTAAAATTAAATAGGTTATTGTTTAATTGAAATTCAGTCAAGATGTTTCAAATTATTTATAGATAAAATAATAAAATAATTTTTCAAATTATAAAATAAGTTGTCAATTAAAATAAATAAGTTACTTATTAAAATAAAATAGGTAATTATTTAATAACATAATTTACCAAATAATAAAATAAATTATCAATTAAAATTAAATAGGTAATTGTTTAATTCAAATTCAATCAAGATGTTTCAAATCATTAAATAAATTACTAATTAAAATTAAATAAGTAATTATTTAATTGAAATTCAATTAGGATATTTCAAATCATTGATAGATAAAATAATTTACCAATAATAAAATAAGAGATACATTATGTTTTGTTTCAACTTTGGTAGTAATTTATTTGAATTGCATAGGTTTTTTCTTTGGAATGGTTCCATCGTAATTTATTTTGATTGATCTGTTTCGCAGCCTATTTCAAAATTCTTTATTTTACTATAGGTACATTATTTTTTGACTTGCATTAATCATATTGATTTATTTTTTATTTGTATTTTTTGTGTTTGTTTAATTGTGTTTTATTTTTTGAATTGCATCAATCATGTTAATTTTTTTTTTGTGTTTGTTTAATTATGTCATATCAGAATTTATTAACTAAAAAAATAAGTTTTCTAATATTATATATTTCATTCTCTATAAGTTTTTAAATATTATATATTTCATTCTCTAATTATATACATATTATACAAATAATTACAACCCCTTAAACTTGTGATTTTACTTTTAAATTTTAATCTTGACAATACATTTCACATCAAGTGGTGAAGGAAAAGACCCATTTGAATGAAAAATACTTAAAAAAAATTTATTAGTCAATTATTTGAAAAAATGAATTTACCTTAATATTTTTTTAATTAAAATTATAAAATAACTTTTCTGTTTTACTAGTACATATATACACATAAACTTTTATTTATATTTTTCGGTAAAACTTATTTTTTCAATCTTATATCAAAAGAGTACACTATAAAAGTTAACTAGTAGGAGTACACACATACCAGAATAATTCGAATTTAGATATAAAATCAAATCAAAATTAATTCAGATTTCACACCAATCCCATCCAACACGAACTTTAAACCAATCTGATCTCATCAATGAAATGTTAGATTAGATCGGATTAATTAACAACAGCATAACATGACTAAATATATCTATAATTTTATATAAGTAAAGAAAAGGATCAGATATAATTTTTAGAGATTCAAATTCGTGAACCATTCGATCCTATAGAATCCAACACTCAATGTATAAAGTAATAATTAATTCCAACTACGTGGATCCAATTGAATCACGGATCAAATAAATATCCTTAATAATAAGATAATTACAGGAAAAATAATAATAATAATAAGATAATTACAAAATTTATTCTGAAATCTTAAACATCGAGTCCCAAAAGGGCAAAAAGATACAGGAACGCAATAGAGACAGCGGTGAAGACCGTACATACACCTTATTAATTTGGACCGTCCGATTCACCGAATCTAGCAAAAGGTTGACGTTGATCCATTTAACCCAATAAAACACTTACAAGTGTCCGATATAGAGATGCTAAGATGCGTCAGTCACACCTTCCACAAGCTTCAGTGTGCTTTAGCAAACTTTTAAGAGCTCTATTTACTTCGAAGCGACGCTTTGTACGTCTCACAACTCGCACTCTGTTTCTAGGGTTTTACATTTCTACTTTCCTCTTCGAGAAAGCAAAGATGAGGTAGTCTCTCTCTCCCTTCTCTGATCTCCTTCGTTTGATGTATGTAGACTTGTGAATGTATGCTTTGATCCTTTATTGTAGTTTTCTAATTTTCTGTTTGGATTCCGAGAAAACGTGAACGGAAGGAAAAAAAAAAAAGAAGAAGAAAAAGGGGGTTTTATCCCTCAAATCACATGTTGTATTGGTAGTTTTTATTATTTTACATCAGAGTTCGCAATATAAGCTTAGTTCAGTGGATGATAATAGATCAAAATTTACTAGTTGTATATTACTTTCTGCTTTACATTTTCTCGAAAATCCAGTTTAGCATATTTAGTTTTCGTTAATTGTTCATGATATGTATGTTTTGTGGCAGCTATAACTGTATCCTGGTTTTGTTTACTTTGCGTAACTGTGGCCTTTTCTGTTTCTTCTTCCCCTTTCCCTAATCTCTGTGTGTTTATTCTTAAATGAATTCATTGATTGACTGGAAAATAGTGATATTAGTTGCAACTTTAATAATTAGGGTTTATGTGCTGCCTCTCTATGAAGAATTTCAGAAAAAGGTTCAGAACGGCCTCTTGTTCTTTTTCTTTTTCCATTATTTAGTATATTTATATTTGTGTTTAAGAGGAAAAAAGTGGTCCATAGATCTGACACCGTCTATAAGCGATTATGTTTCTTTATTTAGCTTCTCACGGAGTAACATTATTTTTTCAGTTTAGTTGAAATGATGAAATGTGGTGTTTTGAGAATCAAAATTGTCAGCAGCAATTAGATGGAATCCGTTGTCTGATATTGTGTGGAGTAAGGTAAAACAGGTATATGTCATTTTGGCATTACTAAGAGTGTATTTGGGTTGAGGGAGTTTGAACCAAAGGACAGGAGTAGGAAGAATAGTTTCTCATGTTTGGTTAAAAAGGAGAAGGGAAATGAAAGGAGGAGGGGTTGTTTAACCCCTTGAGTAGTGTTCTTTTACCAACCTTTGATGAGTGAAAGGAATTATAGGTAAAGGACAACAAAGTTAGTGATTATTGATTTTGTCCCTACTGTTTAGAACCAGCTAATTCTTCTTTTATCATTTTCACATATATAATAAAACATTTTTTCCTTTTTTTTTTTTTTTTACTGTCTTTCCCAGACAAGATGAAAATGCTGTCCTTCCTTTCCTTTCCTTTCCTAGTTACCCAATTGCGATGAGGGGTTAATTTTATCCCTTCCTCTTTTTCTTTTTCTTCTTCTTCTCCTTTTTTTTTTTTTTTTTTTTTTTCAATAGTTAATTCTATAATTTCATTTTCATTCTCTTCTGCTTCTCCATGTTCCATAAGTTCCTTATTTCTCTACACTTTCTACTAACATTGTGTTCATATTCATATTGATCTGATTTGGTTTTATTTGAGCTTGGATAGTATTTGCTTATGTAATTTTTCAATATTAAATTATGTTAGTTAATTGAATTAATGGAATATGGATTCTTTTATTTATATTTTGAGGGATACAAAAAATCCATCCATTTTGCAGATACAGTATTGGGAAAAAAGAAAGGTTCTCCATGTGGCCAAAACAATAATCTGACTTGGAATTGGGCTAAAACAATAATAAATTCAAACTGATTTCTGATAATAAACTCCATGTTTATGGAAAAAAAAAAAATGAAACTCCTTTATATGAGATTTATGTAGGAAAATCTTGTGAACTACATGTGTTTTCAACCATCTTTCTAGCTTTTGGTCCAATTGAATGTGCAAACGAATTGATTTTTCCTTCCTCCTTTTCTCACTTTCGGTCCTTTTTTTTGATTTATTTATTATTTTGTAATATTTGCTTGTGGTTATCTATCTCCTAATATTATCCAAAATTTTCAGCCGTCATCCTGAAGTGAAGTGGGCCCAAAGGGTGGACAAGGTTTTTGTCACGGTGCTTTTGTCAGATGCAAAGGATGCAAAGGTCAATCTTGAGCCAGATGGGGTTTTCACATTCTCAGCTAGTGCTGGAGCAGAGAACCACCTTTATGAACTGAAGTTGGACCTTTATGATAAGGTTAATGTAGAGGTAAGAGGCTGCCTCTGCCCTCAATTCTTTCTAAAATCCTTGAACGGTGATGGAGAGTTGATTTATTATCAGCAATCAGTTTGAATTTTAGTTGTGCTTCCAATTTGGAGAGTGGGGTTTTTTTTTTATTTATCAGAAATCAGTTTGAATTTTCATTGTGCTTCCTATTTCTAGTGTAATCAAATTGGGATGGCTTTTAGAAAATCAGAGCTCTCGGGGGATACATTGAATTGCAAGTGTGCCTGTCTTTGCTTCTAATCAGAGTTACTAATGTGTAAAATTGCTTTTAAATGTTTTCTTTGCTCTACATTTGCTTGGCCCTCTTGACTTATTATTTTTATTTTTATTGTTGCAGGAAAGCAAAATAAATATAGGTATGAGGAATATATTCTGTGTTTTGGAGAAGGCAGAGCAGAAATGGTGGAAGAAACTATTGCGTGGAGATGATAAGGCACCACACTACTTGAAAGTAGATTGGGACAAATGGGCGGATGAAGATGATGATACTGGTATTCCACTTCGTAGTTTATAATTTATTATCTCAAGCTGTTCTTTATGATGTTAAAAACAGGATGTCTTTAATTAATATTTTAACTTACAATTCATGTGTTATTAGGTCCTGCTGATTTGGATTTAGGTGGAATGGATTTCTCGGTAATGATATATTAACTGGTCTTTTTATATTTGGGTTTCTAGTAGGAGTCTATTCTTAATTTTCTTCTTATTGATGTGTTTTTTAGAAATTTGGTGACATGGGCGGCATGGGAGGCATGGGCGGCTTGGGAGGCATGGGTGGCATGGGCGGCTTGGGAGGCATGGGTGGCATGGGCGGCATGGGCGGCATGGAAGGCTTGGGAGGCATGGGCGGCTTGGGAGGCATGGGCGGCATGGGAGGCTTGGGAGGCATGGGAGGCATGGGCGGCATGGGTGATGATTTCGATGATAGTGATGATGAAGGTATTTATTCTGAAAGCAATACTATATGATGAATGGTTTTGACTACTTTATTTGTTGATTGATTTTTCTTGTTAATGTGTTCAAATTTGAGCTAAAATTACAAGCATAATTGTAGGATTATTGGTGTCGGGGGTCTATAAGTAGTGTGCCCAGTGCCCACTCCCACAAGAAACTACACATTCATGCACGAATACATACTACACATTTTTAAATATGTTGCTATATCCTCATACACAAGTAGTCTGATAAAGCACTGCTCTAGTGAATTTCTTCTGTGTTTTCTTCTTGTCATTTGGAATCATTTCCAAATTTTAAGTTTTGACTTTGCTGACAGCTGTGTACCCTTTTAAAATAATGTTTCATAACCGAGTTTGTGCAACAAGTTCAACTTCGACATGGAAATAATATGTTTTATGGGTACAAAGATTAAGCATGAGCAACTAAAAGAATAATTGAATGATGAACAATTTCAGAACGAGTTTTACAGAGGCATGTATCACCCCAGAAAACACATGAAGCCTATAGGTGCATTATGAGCCACGTAGAGAACTTTGTGGTTCTCTTGATGATAACGTATAAGTTGAACAGGTCCTTATAAGGAAAAGTGATTTAAGGATTCATGACATTAGTCAGTAAAGAGGGGTTGCATGGCTGGAGCCTGGAACCCACCACATAACATAAATGAAGCTGATAAAGGAATGCTAACACTGAAATTATTGTGTTACTGCTGAAATGAGCCGGAAAACGCCGGATGAGCTTCAACAAGAATTGTGTTAGGTAGGAATATTATTCCTCTCAATCCCAACTCTTTGGGCTATGTTACTACCTTTTGAGAGGTAGATGCAATGTCTCTAGAGCTTAAACACCCTTGGAAGTAATTGCTATAGGTTAGGATAATGTCCTTTAATTATATGAGAAGTAAAGATGGAAGACGGAATTAGTTGGAGAGAAATTTTGGTTCTCTTTGTGTTATTCTTTTGCCTGACACGAGGAATACGTCTTTCTTACTACCTGCTGTTGAGAGGTGAAATACGTATCATTACCGAAAGGCCTTGCCTTGATCCAAAGTAAAGAGTTATGCACTTGAAACAACCAAGCGGACGTGTAGCTCTGCTGAAAGACCAAGAGGGGTGAATAGTTGTAACTTTATGTCTCAATTTGTTGCACCATGTATGATTAATCAACTAATAGTTTTAGTTCTTCTGATTAGTAAAGTAATAAAGAAGTAATAAAGAATATATAACAGTTTTTACATGAGAAAACTAACTGAGAAAACCAGGGACCATTCTTGGTACAAATAAGAGTTATGCACTCGAAACAACGAAGAGGACATGTAGTTAAGCTGGCAGACGAAATAGGTCCAATTTTAGAGTAATGCTATCAAGTGAGCCCTCTCATGACAAGGGGCATGAGCATATTTAAGCACTGGATTGAGAGTTTTTTTTTTGTGATATTTGAAAAGTCAAATGAATTATTTAATACATCTTTCTATCCAGTAGTTAAAGAAGCAGAGCTCATGTCTCTTGTCTTGAGAGGGCTCTCATGATAGCATTTCTTGTAGTTTTAATTCTTATGATTAGTTTTCATTCCGCGTGGTTAATTATACTAAAGTAATAAGAAAATATTGCAGTTTTTAACGTGGAAAATACTAACCAAGAAAAGCAGGGGCCAGTCTAGGTGCAAATAAGGAAAAAGTAGAACTCCAAGTTGCAAACTTTTATCTCGAAGTATCACTTAAGTTGATTTACCTTTATTCGATATTACACTTGATCCTTGTGGTCACAAGCCTATCTACTGTGATTGATGAATCCGTCTGTATGCTATGCACTCCTCTCAAAGTGATCATTTGCCAACTCTGGCTTCCATGAGTAGCAAGTGTTCATCTGCTCAGTCGAGCCAAGGTCTCCACATGATGCATGATGGTATAGATACTATGGGGTCACTTTCACTCCGTTGCTATTCACAAAAAAAATAAAAAAATAAAAAAAAAATAAAATTCATGAATCAAAGAACACATATGATGATTACACATGATCAACTCACAAAGGGCGTGTAAGAAGAAAGAAAATTGTGACCATGATGAATCATGCTTTCATGTGTTGTTGCTTTCATGTGTTGTTTGTGAGATGCTGCTATAGACAAACCCTAATAGGCTACTTATATGGTTTAGAAAATATAGAGTAGATTTTAGAAGTAAGTTTAAACTTCTTCATTTAGTTTTATTTTTATTTTTGATTTTGAAAGATGAAGTCTTTTCAAACTTGGTGACATGGAAATATCCAAACCATGCAAGTAAGATATCCAAGAAACGATGAGGAGCAATACTATCTCATTGGGCTTGAATCGGTCAGTCCTCCATGGGGTGAATGGTTCCTCCCATGTAGGAAGCTAAGTTCTCAATACCTATGAAACTGAGGCATAAACCTCTTTTTTCTGAAGTAAGTTAACATATTTTTAATAATAAAATCACATTAGGGCACTTAACTTTCGAGAAACTAAGGTCAATTAGGTCAAAGTTTTTCAAAACAAGTGCAAGTTCACTCAATCAAATTTAATTGATAAAAGGTGCTTGAAACATGCATTCTTGATTTTCTTAAAGTTAACCATTTGATCTTGTAGCTATCTTCTGTCTTCAATTTATCTTTGATCGTGGATATTCAATCAGTCTTCATGTAGATGGGGGGTAAAACAATGGTGACCCACTTAACTTGGCCGTTACATACTCTTTTTTTTGGTTCTGTTTTTTGTTTTGACAAGTAAGATATCATTAAAGGTGCTCAAAAAGGGGAGCGAACCCAAAAGAATACAAGGGACAAGGGACGCCCAAGGTGACACAAATTTCAAGCAATCCACAAAATCCAAAAGATCCCCCATAGATTTACAATTTTGCCCATTAACCCAAAAAAAATAAAGCAGACAGTGTATTGTATTTGAGAGACTAAATAGAGATTACTCTCCATCAAAAGATCTCCTATTTCTCTCACGCCACAAACCCCAGCATAAACAAAAGGTAGTGACCCTCCAAGCATTTTTTAGGGCATAACATTAGATTTTTCTTCATTTCCTCAATGGGTCCCCTTTGGCATTCAGGGAGGGAACATGCCTTAAGCACTAATTAGAGAAATAGTTTTTCATTGGCAATTAATGTCAAATTACACTGGCTTGATGCCTCTGGTGTTCTTCACCACTGGGAAATGAATGTGTTGATGTATTGGAATTTTGGTGGGTGGACAAAAGGTGTCGACAGGCATGGCATCATTGTCGTAACAATCCTCAGTTTCTGGTTGACATTTGTAATGTTTCGAGCTGCTTGGATTTGCAGTTGTTTTGGGCCATGAAAATTCTTCATGGCTCTGCTAGATTCTTCTAACCGGTATATCAATTGAATCTCTAGAATTTGAAGTGATTTTGAGTTGAGTGGGGCCAGGTTGATTGCTGTCCCCCAACCTCTAAAAGAAAAATAAAACTGGGATTAAAAAATCAGCCAGAGTCGGTGGAAGGAAGGGATAATGGATCTGGAGTTGTCTTAAGAGACACCTGTAAGTGCAGGAGAGAAATCAGTGTGTATTCCGATCTTAATGAATGTGTCAATCAGCTGGTTGAGAAGATGATCCAGAGGGGATCTATGTTGCAGACAGACTTGTCAGCAATCGATGAATCAGTACAGTTTTGATTGTATTGTCTATCTTTTTTTTTTTTTTTTTTTTAAGGATTTGGATATTTTAGTTTAGAGTGAAAGATGGTATTCATTTTCCTTTCTTCTCTTTGAATAGATCAAGAAGTGTCAAAGCCGGAAGAGCAAGACATTAACAAGGCAGGAGAGGAAGCAAAGCCAGAACATGTGGGAGGAGCTCCAGAAGGAAAAGCTGAAGCTGCACCAAGCTCATGAAATGTCAGTCTAAATGATAGTGCAGTATAACATGGCTTTGCTAGTGGGTTAGGTTTCTTCACCTTGTGACCGGGATGAAAGAATGAAATTTTCTAACGGAGTGAGTGTTGATTTCGCCCAAACTAATGTTCACAACCATTGGGGTTCTGGTCTTGAGAGGCTGCCTCTTTTTCCATATGTTAACCTAAATTTGGATGTTGTATTATTTGCTATTGGTTTCATGGATTGATAAATCTGATAGGACGTAGCGTGTTCCGACTTCATATATCTTTGGTTTATGTGAGCTTTCCAAGTTTTCTGTTTTTCTGCTATCCACATCTGCTAAATATTTTAGACATGAGTGGCATGTTGATGTGTTGTGGTTCATTTGGGAGTGAAGAAATACTATTTGTGGGCTGTTTAATGACCTGTTAAGGTTTTGTCTAGGCGAATGACTTCACATTCCTAGAGGGACTGGTTTTCTGGGCAATCCCTCCCTAGTAAAAAATAATGAAATTAAATTGGCACGTCCGGTGGGACCCTATTATTATTAATTAGTCTGCAAGGGAACATCATAAAAACTAGCTAGTTCTAGGGACCTGAATCTTCTCTAGTGGAACCGTCTATCCACTTTTGTCCAATTGAGATGCACTTCACAAAAATGTTGGGATGCTTTGACAAATATACCAATCGTTTTTGTATGGTATATCTCAAACTGAGCTGAAAAGAAGACACAGGTATATAATTCTACTATGATCAGTCGCAGAGGGATATCACTTTCTTATATATATATATATATATAGTTCAAGAGGGACAATATTTTTCTTATATATATATAAAGTTCCGAAGGGACAATGTTATTTCCGGCTTATTATATATTACTGCTTTCAGTTGCTTTGTTTATTATTGCTTTTCCATTACTGTTTTAATCATTAAGTAGTAGTTGTGGGTGAAATCTTTTGGATGATTTTTTATTTTTTTTTTAAGGGTAGAAGGAACCATTTTAACAAACTTTAATGGTTCTTTAGCCCCTTTGATTATTGCTTTTCCAATTACTGTTTTAATTATTAAGTTGTTTTAATTAATAAGTAGTAAACAAACTTTAATGGTTCTTTAGCCCCTTTGATTATTGCTTTTCCAATTACTGTTTTAATTATTAAGTTGTTTTAATTAGTTGTGGGTGAATCTTTTGGATGATTTTTTTTTTTTAGGGTAGAAGGAACTCTTTTAACAAACTTTAATGGTTCTTTGGCCCCTTTGATCGACGAATCAATCCACGATTTGACCATCTCCTCACAACTAATACGCAGAGTCCGAAGAACACGGAGATGGAAGTGAGTTGGATATGGAAATTGGAGCTAATCCTTTGTCTTGTCTTCTCCAATGTGATCACACTCGCACTAAATGGCTCTCCAATGTGATCACACTCGCACTAAATGGCTTTTTTGACATCCCTTTATCTAGAGTGGTCGAATAAAACCCTATTTACTTTGAAATTTCACAATTTTTAATGATAAATGAGTAAAAAATATATGAAATTTTACCATCACAGTCGTGAAATTACAGCACATGTATTTCAACCACTTAAAAAATATTTTTAATTTAAAAATTTAGTGGCGTTGTAACGGTGAAAGTGCTAAAAGAATATTGAACTGTTTGAAAGAAAAAAACATCAAACATATATCCCTCAATATTTTGAGAAATGTCAAATATCCAATTTGAGCTTCCTCACATGTTGAGAGAGACTCTAACCTGCTTATAAGCATCGGAGAACTGTATAAAACTAAAGGATCACTTGAGTAAAAAAATAGATGAATTTTTACCATCATAGTATTTCAACCACTTAAAAAATATTTTTAATTTAAAAATTTAGTGTGTTGTAACGGTGAAAGTGCTAAAAGAATATTGAACTGTTTGAAAGAAAAAAACATCAAACATATATCCCCGAATATTTTGAGGAATGTCAAATATCCAACTTGAGCTTCCTCACATGTTGAGAGAGACTCTAACCTGCTTAACACATGCAAATTGGACGGGAAGTGGTTTTCCGTGGCGGACGGGTGAGTAACGCATAAGCCCGACAACTGTAATCACCAGAGACAAATTAAAAACATATAGAAAGATTGGCCCTTTAATGTGGTACTCTATCCCTCACTTGAAAACGATCTCCTGAACCATTCCTGGACTATTGTGTCATTTATATCTTACCAAGTACAAAAGCTTACGAATAACAAAATATCCAAAATGAAAATTTTTCATAACGCCGCTTGAGGCATGATGGAGCCAATGCTTTAAAAATTCGCAAAGTAGCCCCTTGAGTTGTTTGGCGTCTCAGCTTTGTTTCATCTGCCACGCCCTCCTCCACCTATTCACCAGTCCAAACAAAGTTAAGGAAAATAAGCTTTATTAAGAGGCTCAAGTTTGCAAGTGAAGAAGACTCGAATCCTTAATACAAAGGCAAAAGACACAAAGAGCCGAACATGTAAGAAAATCGAGGCACACTTGGCCTTTTGATGGCCCTATGCCAATGTGTGCGAGTAATAATCAAGTAAAGATTCACTTGAATAGGGCCAGACCAGATTACATCACCGGTGAAAAGAACTTGTAGTGTCAATATGCAATATGTGAAAGAAAACTAGAAATTCCTATTCAAGTGACAACTCTGAATAAAAGGTTTTACCTCTGTTTCCACCAGCTCTCCCACCAATGCCACCCCGACCTCGACCTCCACCCATCCCTTTAGCACCTCCATCATCTAGGCCCCGGCCAATGCCCTTTGTTGGCCTCCCACTAGTGCCATCCTCTCTACCTCTTCCTCTCCCACGCCCTACTCCAGGAGGCCTCCTATCTGAAATGTCAATTGAATTGATCAACGAAAACTTCTTCCAAAAAAAATTTCACTCCTATGATTGCGCAAACAAACAAGAAGAGGAATCAGAATAATCCAGGACATCAAACAAATAAGGGAAATAATTACAAGCAATAAATAACATATAAAACACTGTTACTATAAGAACTTAACACAGCCAGAGAGTATAAAAATCTCTTTCTTTTCTTTTTTCTTAATCAGGAAAGTACTCACACACACATTGCCCATGCAGGGGCTTGAACCCCTACCCTCCCCTCCTCTTTGAGGGTAAAGAGGTTATACCATTGGGCTAATGGCCATTGGTAAATGCAAAGAACAGGTAAAAGAAAGTATAAGAATCTCAAGTCACCTAAAGCAGTGAAAGAAGGCATATATGAGCTAAACCATTTCCATCCAAAACCAGATCATATATAAACTTACAAAGGGTTACAGTAATCACAATAAGGAGCACTGTGCCTAAACAATGATATTCACGTAACAAAATGAATCATATGGTTAATTGGTTATAATTCAAATCCAAACAAAGTCCAGAAATAGGAAGAGGATACATTTTTCTGATTGTGTTTGCCAAGAGCCATAAATTGCAACCTTTCTCATTTTAATAAATATGAAGAAAGACAAAATCATTTTTTAAATGCAAGGCTAAAAAAGAAGAATGCAGTATATACCAGAACGACTCTTGGTCTCTTCCTGAACCTTATCAATGACCTGAAAAATCAAGACATAAAACCACTCAGGTGAAAACCAACTCAAACATTCAAAGGACAATCATAACCACTGATAATAAAAACAAAAGAGAACACACATCTGAAAGACATAAAGATGGCATTCAAACACCTCCACAAGGCAACATAACTCCAAAAGTATAAATGAATCCTGAAATATTGTAACAAGAAATAATATATACTGCTTTATTAAGTATTCTTTGTCGCAATTAAGGCAACAAAAAAACATTGCTTCTGTCAGGCACTACTTTCAGTGTCAACTATAACTATTCTGTATCACCACCAAAAATGCCCTGCGACTAAACAACAGGTGGACCAAAAACAATAAAGATCTTTTGTATCAGTACATTACAAATACAATATTAATGCAATATAAACCACGCAAGCAACCAAAATAAAGCACAAGTAAACAACCAATCCATGCAATATTGGTCACATACCATGCACCATGGTTTCTTAATTTATTTTAAAATGAAGAGCTAGAAGAGTAGAATTCAAATCCTCATGTATCTTCAATCACATTATGTCCTAAAACATGGCTTCTACCACCTTCATTTTATAAACAACTGTAGGATGGTCATCCTGCCCCCAAACGTTAAACCAGCACATGAGATCTTCTACCAAATGGGGCCATTCATTCTGCTGGGTATGAATTCCAGCCACCCAATGCACATAAGGATGGCTTGTTACAATGCATCTGCCTGGATTTGTCCCTGACCAATCTTTCCCCGTGCTATAGACATAAATTTTACTAATTATCAGTGTCCAACCAACACTGCTACTAAACACCTTTCAGTTACTTCATTAATTTTTATGTTTGGTAGAGAAATTGGTGAATGTCACCAAAAGGCATGGAATCTGCAACCCTCCTATCCTCAGAACTTTTAAAGAAGACAACTTCTAACTTCTAATCTTATTCTGCTTTTGATCTTGCAACTAGACATAAATTACAAGATGAGATGCAGTTTGATCCAACAGCTTCATAAAATAATCTTTTCATTATTTTGTTGCTATATATTGCTGCATTCACAAATTATAATTTTCTCAAATTTCAAATCCAAAACTTCAGTCACATCAAATTCTAAAACTAATAATTAATCTACATAACTCTTCCTAGTTTCTCCACCTACGTGCAATCAAATATTCATTTAGATCATTCATTAGACATAATATATTGATTGGCCAAGCACATCTATTGTAATTATTGAAGCTGACAAATAGTTAACAAAATATTTTTCAAGATATTCAAGGATTCACGTATATTCAAATCACAACACGAGATTCCAATTAAGAATTCGAACAAACACTGTACTGCTACCACCTCTTCACACCAATATAGGAAAACATGCTAAGAATTTATCCATATAAGCAAGAACCTATAACCGAAAAAGAAATGCTGCCTGCACTTCTACTCAAAGCGTTTTCAAGTAACAGAAACATGAAAATTTTCTCCAGATCGATTGTCCAAATAATTCGCAGAGCAAACACAAACATTTGGTGAAGGAAAAATTAGAATTTTATAAGAGATCCCAACAATTTTGCTAAAACATCCAACCACTAAACCAAGCATATATAGCAGTGTGAAGTTTCAATGTATATCCAAGAAAGCATGAGCAAACTTTGCTGATACTTATCAAAATTTACAGGACAAACTAATCTATAAGTATCACAATACAAAACAAAATTCTTGTTGAGAATACATAACACATTCTCATTTGTTAGCTAATTAAGATAGAGAAATAAGAAGCTAAAGCCAACTGATTTTCTACAACAGAAGAAGGAAAAAAAGTCTCCTGCCTATGAAGGATGACATGAACACAAGAATCAGTATATACAAATAGGCATGCCAATTGGGAAAAATAAATAAAAGACAGACATGGAGTAAGCGATGCCATAGCAACCGAGAAAAAGCACATATAAAATTATATTACAAATAACAAGCATTAATGTATGATCAAGGTATATATATCTATCTATCTATCTACCTATATATATATATATATATATATATATATATATATATATTCTATCATGGCTGTACCATAAAATTGGCAATCCATGAATCATGATAACTAATAATCACCATCAACATAGACATGACAAGGGCCCAGAAATGTGCATATATGTGTCTGTATGTATTTAGGTATACAGGTTTATGTATAAATAGACACACAATTATAACGACTCCACTCCTCTTCCCACACCCACTGTTTAATTATATATTTCCTAATAACTACTATTTTTCTCGTGTTAAAATAAAGTCATACACAACATCTTTAAACCGGTAGGTCACATGCTAGCGAATGCCCAATGAGTACCCAACAAGTGTTAAAATTATATATTTAATATTAAATCATGTACACATCAAAGATGTATCAGACACATGTCAAGGCTAAATTAGTTTCCCCACAGACCATGGCAAGAATCCTGACATTTTAAATACCAAAAATATGGTGAATAAGGAATTATGTTTTATGGACAAACATAAATTTTCTACTAATCAGCTAAACAAATGAAGACGCGTTCACAAACGTTAAGAGAACATACACACGTGTATAAACAAGGAGGTATAGTAGCTTGAATGTTTGCAAAAGTTCAGAAGCTATAAGCATACCTCATCTGGAACTCGAAGATATTTGATTGTATTCCCCCGGATGTAGCATTCAGGCATTCGCCAAAACCTATCTCCATCCTGCATTTTGAGTTGGAAAAGAAAGTCAATGTTATGTGCACTCAACTCAACAAAACAGTGTCTCAACCATTTGAGGGGTGCGCGTATATATACATAGCGCGCACACACACACACACATATATAAAAGAAATTACAATAGATCATGAAAGAGAAAAGGAATAACACCAACGAAAGGATTAAAGACCTTAGAGGTACAGATGACTTCTCGGAGATGGATGTTCATCCAAGTATCGCAATTAACCAAATGTCCATTGTAGGTCTCCCCATTTTTCAGTTCCACCAACTGTCACAACACAACCAGTAAGAAAATACGTAATTGCAAAGAAGCACGGAAAGCACGCACGTGGCATAGGTCTAAGAATATTTTGCACCAAGTCTCTTTTTATCCATAAATATATATTCAGAGCAATCTTTTTGCAAGTCATTTTCTTTCTCAAAGCTAAGAATCTATGAAGAATGGGAACTTTTATTAGGGAATCTTATTTATATCCAAATACTCCTTCCATACTCAATTTTTTTTCTTTTAAATAATTATGCATATATATGTTATTTTCTTATATATATATGGACATATATACAACATATACATATATACTTGCATTGAATTTCTAGTTATCAATATGTATGTATATGTAATTTTTAACAGCAAAATAATATATATTGCAATCAAACTGTAGCATGATATAAGGGTGCATACCATGTAACCATATTAAAACCACCATTAGCTATTTCTTAAGAATTTTTAGTATCACTCTGCCCAATGTCCATGTTTCTTAGCTAAGAATTTTATCCAAGATTTACAGTAAAACACACATTGCTATATACATAGCTATGACTGAGCCCTAATTTTCCCTTATCCTTTTCCATGGAACCTAGGAGGTACTTAAAAAACTGAAAAATGTGACAATATAGATCATAAAATGTAATACCATAGGATGCCCTTGGGCGGTCTTGAGCAGAGACAGCGGAAGCTGCAACACCAATAAATCGAGTGTGAGTGAAAACAAAGTCAAATATATAAAATCGATAAATAAAGATTCAATTTATGTGAGTAACATACCATTGTTTCTAGGGCACAGATGCAAAACCTAGCAAATACAAAGGAGACCTGCAACCGCGGCGTAGCCACAAAATAAAAATAAATAAAAATAAAAAAATTGCACCGAAAAGTTACAAAAACTTCATATACATACAATTTATATTGAAATTATACACATGTGAAGAAACCCTAACCCTAGCTTCTCATGAAGCTCATATAATATGAGGAAATCAAAGTGTGACTAGATGTTGATCTTGATTAATTTAACAGTTTGAAAAACGAAGAGAGATTGGCGTTACCAGCTAGTAGCTTCCGGTTCGACAAGAGGAGAGACACAGCGAATTGTTCCGAATGGCAACTTTGCAGAGATCGAATAGGTTCGACCTCTTTTTCTCAATTCGAAGCTGTGAAGGTCGTAGAAAAATATACTAGCGGGAGCTGGAAACGCAGCTGGAAAATAAAAGGAAAAGGGTAAATTGCACTGACCCTCTGAGGTTTTAGCCCTTATAAAAAGAAAACTGATTGGTCGACCGCGCATGCGGTTCATGGTTTTTTTTTTACATTGATGCTTCCTGATATTTAAAAAATGTGCATTGGCATCCTTCCAAAAAAAAAATATGAAAATACTTTTTAACCTTTTGACTTGTCAATAATTCTATTTAAATTTTAAAATTACACTTTAACCTCCTAACTACATATAGATATAGTTTATATATTAACAATATTTATACCACCATAATCACCCCCACAACATAAAAATAGAAAATAAAAAATTAAAATTAAATTTTTTTTTTAAAAAAAAGCCATAAACTACACCACCATAACCACCACCAGGACGCTCAAACACCACAGTAGAAAAACAAATATTTTGAAAACAGTTATGACTTACCCATACTTATAACATAGTAAGAAAGAGGGGAATGAGAGAGATCGAAAATAGAGAGAGGCAGTGTCGGCGTCTAAGTACTAAAATGAACCAAGAAAAAAAGAGTTAGAGATTAGGGTGGAGAAAGAGACTTAATGATGGGATAGTTTTGTCAACAGAGTTGATATTTTGTAAATTAATTAAATTAAATAATTAGGGGTAAATATGACATCTGAAACCACATGAAGTGTCATTATTAAAAAAAACATTGACCCCATCTAAATCACATTAATCGAAACTTCAAGAGTGCCAGTGCAATTTATCTTGAATAAATTTACATAACTCCCCCTCTCCGCATAGCTGTTAGAAGTAAACAATTTTTTTATTTATTTTTATTTTAAAAAGTTCAATAAAATGGAATGGGGATGTCATTGTGTTACATATGCTCATCACATTGCATTGAAGAAGAATGACATGCCCTAATGTCCTATCATCCCTTTTGTTTGTTTGATTTAGAAAAATACTTTTTTTGGCTTTAAATTTAGTTATTATATGTACTAATTACTTTTTATATTGTGTGTCTCTTAAATTTTTAACCGTGTTCTTTTAATAATGTTTAAATGAGTGAGAAAGCTTAAAGCGTATAAACAAGCCTTAACAAATTAGGCTAAATCCATAAATGGAAACTCTCGAAAAATACAACAGAAGCTCTTATTAAACAGCTCAAGGAACAAGCATCAAACTATAATTATACGAAAATGTTTAGGGTTAATTTCACCTACACCCCTTAAACTATGCTAATATTCCACACACACCCTCTTTACGTTTTATAATTTCACCTACACCCCTTGTCAGTGACCGCCGTCTAATTTACCAATGGGAATATGTAATTTTACTATTTTACCCTTTAATTATATATTAAAATTTATAACTAAAAAAGACTTTTACACCCTCTTAACACCATTTAATTTCTATCTCTACCCTCGTACACACACATATATATACCCACACACTATATCTATATATATATATATATATATATATATATATATATTTTTTTTTTTTTCTTTCTTTCTTCTTCATCATCGCCGGCGACAAAGCAACTACGCCACCGATGGAATACACAACAACCGATCTCGCCGTTTCTCCACCTCAACCTACCACCACCACGGCCGACCACCAACCACCATCCACAATCACCCTTTGCAAACAACACCACTAGCAGACCCAAGATCCAATTGCGGAAAAAAAAAAACGTTGTAGTTGCAGGGTTTGTTTGGCAGAACAGAATGAAGATTGATGAAGTCGAAAGAGGTGTCTAAGTCTTCAACCCAAAATCTGAATCATGTGTTGTATTGGCAGCAAGAAGATCGAACCCGATGGCGGCGCATGACTACCGTCACCCTTCAGCAATTTGAGTCATAACATTGCCGGAAAACTCCATCTCCGTCGATTTCAAGGTTCATAAATGATCAGTTCACCGCCGACAATTCCTCCCCCGGAACTCACCTGATCTCGCTGGAAACCCGACTCAATTGTTATTTTTCTTTTTTGTTTCCAAATCAAATCAGGGAAAAAAAAAATTAGAGAGAGATTTCCAAAAACAAAATTTCAAAAAAAATGCAGAGAAGATTGTTATTTCCAAAAACAAAATTCCAACTAGAGAGATTTCCAATTGAGAGAGGGAGGCTAGGATTCTACAACGAGAAGGGGATTTCAGTTCAGAAAGATATAGAGAAGATTTTTTGGTGCGTGGATTAATACTGTGAGCTCAATTCCGGCGACTTACAAAGTTGAAGCAATCGGTGAATGGTGTTTTGGGTTCGATAATATGAGCACACTGGATTAAACTTTTTGAGTTTATAAGTTAAGGGTAATTTTGTAAATTTGCATTGGTCAATGAGGTTAAAAATGTCATTTTAAGTATTGGAAGGGCAAAATTGACCTTGTACAGAATTGTTCATGCTGACACCGTTAGTTGCTTAACGGTAGGGGGTAGTTTGCTACATAAATCAAAACCTCAAGGGAAATAAGTGGAATTATGAAACGTAGAGGGGTGCGTGTGCAATATTAGCATAGTTCAGGAGGTGTAGGTGGAATTAACCCAAATGTTTAATATCCCGACTTAAAATGGACAAATATAAATCATTTTCTTTTTCGTTTTCACACGAAGTTTCATAATAGTCAAATATAATAATTTGATTTGTACAAAATCTAAAACAAAAACTGTAATGTTTTATAATTTTTCAATGCTTCGCAATTTTTTTTTTTAATTTCTCTTCTTGTTTTTTGTGTTTGGGTGTCCGATAAATCATTAGCTTTAATTACTATTTAAATAAATAAATGACTATCAAATAATAGATGGATATTAATAATTAAAGACACCATTTTTTTTTATATATGACGAAGGATACATAATCTAATTATATATAAGAAATGCAATTTGAAGTATCTCAAGAGTTCTTACAGAGATGCGATGTGATGTTTAAATAAAACAAATATATAATTTAATACATATGGTGATTGAAACTTTAATAGACAACAAAAATATTAGATTAAGATGAAAACTAGAAAGGAGACTGTAACTTTTCAAATAGTTAATTACCTTCTATTTTAAAATAAATCTTATTATATTTGACACAGAAATAGTCACATAGACTAAATAATTCTGGTTAAAAACTATTTAAGTATAAATCACACTCACATTGTTCTCATCCCCAAATTGAACTCCACTATGGTTGTGGGCCATTATTGCCTCTCTCTCCCAGTAATGTCTCATATAGGATTACAGCTAAAACTATAAGCAATAGATTGAAAATGGTGGTCCATGATATTATTAGCAATTCTCAATGTGCTTTCGTTGTGAGGAGACACAATTATGAAAATATTCCCATCACGCATGAACTTCTGCACTTCTCCAAAATCAAATGGAAAGGGAAAAAAATCATTCATGTTTTTTTTTCTTGATATGAGCGAGGCATATGACCAAACAGAATCGTCTTTTCTCTGGCTTATTTGGCCTTAACAAGCATTTGAAGTTGTCTGTGTTTTTCTCAAAGAACACTACTATTAGGTTGAAGGACTCTCTTTGACAATTGTTAAGTTTTACACTATTATCCTTTAAGTTTTTCAAAAATCTTCCAAGTTAGTGATACATTACAAGGACAAGTTGATAATTTTAAAAAGAGACAATATATTAATTACATGTTCCTTTAAAAAAATTACTACTCCCAAAGATTGACAAGTTAGGAGTAATACACACCAATCTAGAGCCTTGAGATCAATTAACTAAGGGTTAGGATTTAATCTGAATTTTGAAATAAAATATGATATGCTAATATAAAAGCATTTCGGGATGATCAGGTTAAAGCAAGTCTAACCCAAGCCCAACCCAAGTTCTGAAATAATGAGCCCCAAACCACAAAATGCCCGTTTGTGTTGGGGTTGGGCCAGGTTGAACCCGCCCAACTTGGACCCCTAACCCTGAAGCAACTTTTCCCAAAACAGATCATTCCACAAAAGCGAAATTCCTTTATTTTTTAATCTTAAAATTCCCTCTCATGCTTATCTAAAGGAGTACGTCTCAAATATTAGCATACATGATTTGTAAATCTGAAAACAGTTCTCAGAAATTTTAAAAATAGAGAACAGTTTTCAAAAAACTATAAAATACTGTTTTCTGAAAATACACATTTTTATAACTAAGTTTTCAAAAAACTGAACCAAACAAAATTTTTTGTACAGTTTTTTGTTTTCAGTTTTGAAAACTGTTTCCATAATTACAAACCAAGCAAGCCCTTAAAAATTATTTGTATCCTTTTACTAACTTCTGTACTTTACCACTATGCTAAACATGTGGTTTTGGCAAAAACGCTCCTCAAAAGTATTTACATTTTAGGTTTGCACACAGAAAATGAGTTCATAAGGCTTTCCAGGTTCAACCACAGTGAAAATCCTATGATGCACTCTGAGCACCACATCCACTGAAATACTAGGAAAAAACAAATAGCTCGAGACCACCACATCCATTGAAATACCCTCCTAACAACCAACTTAAATATACTGAAATTCAATAGCCTTTTTTTTTTTTTTTTTCCAACTTCATTAATTGTATCATTTTCATTCTTCTCTGTTGAAATCAATTTCTGCCTGAAGCCAAAGCCCAATTCAAAAGTTGGAAGGAGGGCAAGAGCATCTTGTCGCAACTCGAATTGAATCTTCAACCTTATGTTCAATGTAAGATTAGCTTAAAAAGGATACCTTAGCCTGCGCTTTCACCCGCGAGTGAAATTCAAATCTGCAACCAAAAATTTCTCAACTTGTCACTGAAATCAAAGTAGAAAAGACGGAAGAAAAAAGATAAATGAAGATGCTGGCACCACACCTTCTGAGAGCAAATAAGATGCAGGCTCCGATCACATCATTTCACTCCTGTGATATCATAAGACGAATATCCAGGGTATGACAGCAAATGTTCAAACCAAATGGCTGTTTAAAAGCTAGCTAGCACAAAGCCCACAGCTAATATAAATATATATATGTATGTATATATGAACAAGGTCCTCGTGCTTCAAGTGTAGGTTTAAATTAAAGTGATCTAAAATATACTAATATGAAAAGTTTACGATTACAGAAGGAAACCGAGAACCAGAGTCCAAAATTAAAATCAATATACTGGGTGCTAGCATGTTTTTGGGGTGAGCAGAGAGGCACGTGAATTTACAAGAAGCATACAACTTAAAAGAAATACCGCGCACTGGGGAATGAACCATCATGGAGAGATCCAACCATCAACAAGCTGTATCATTCTCATCTAACCTTTTGTGGACAGTTGTTAAATCAACCAAGTGACGCATTGTTGGTCTGCCGTGTGGGCAATTCCAAGGAGATTTGAGGTCTGCCAAATGTTCGAGTATCTGAACCAAGTGCAAAGGAAAATGTCAGCATGTTTGAAGCTATCCCTATTGTACATATATTGGTAAAAGTTCAAGAAGTTAATGGATGGAGAATGAAATCAGAAACAAGTAGAAACAGTAGAGGTGGGTGGGGGGAACAAACACTCGAAAGAATTCTTCAATCCAAAAGCCTCGAAGGAAAGAAATATCCACTAAGAAATGCGTAAGACATTATATTATACCATTTGATTTTGTCAATTTTTTGATAAATATTAATTCATCCACTTAAAAATAAATCAAAGAGCAAAATTGAGTGTTGTCACAGTGGTTCCTTTTGCTCCATGTCCACTAAAACAATGCAACGCAAAAAAACATAGGGTTATACCTTCTGCATCTCATTTCTTCCAAGTGGATCTCCAACCATAATAGATGATCTACAGGCCCGTGATGCTAGCATTGCACGAACTCTTGGTGGGCAAACTGAATCAAAACTGTCCATTCTGTAACTACCAATCATCGAGCATTCCCCTTGACTATCAGCAAGAATGGAAATGAGCTCCTTCACATCTGTTCAAAAAGATTTGGGGTATTTACTGTGCAACTTCATGCGTGCATGCAAGCTCAGGTACAACAGAATATGTTAACACTGTAATAGTGATGCAGAGAGGCATAGTGTATTTACGTGATCAATAAACCTTATTTTGCACTCTTTGGTTCAAGTAGCTTCATACATTTATTGCGTAGATTGTTTTTCAGGAGGTTTCACTCGCTTCAAGTAATTTAAGTACTTTCTAGGAAGAAACAAGCACCACCTGCTTTCAGGATAGCAAGTTTGCCAGCAAAATCATGTTTCTGCCCTAATTTTTCTCTTTTGTGTTTGTTCATGTAATGGCAATTAGTAAGAAAGCCACTAAGGACTATCCCATCATGTTATTTCCTAAAAGAAAGAGGTACAAGCTCTTTTCCAAATCTTTAATTCCCATAGCTTGGCAGTTATGTTCTAAAAATATGTCAAAGATGCACAAAAACCCCAACTCAAGTTACTCAACTCGACAAAGCCTTTTGCCCAACTCCTTGGGTTGGTTACATGAATCTCATTTTTCGATTTTGCTCTAAGACCATATTCTCAGCCAAACCATATGTTATCGTACCTTTCCTTACTGATTCTATCCATTAATTCTGGTCTTCCCTTTCCCTAGCATTACCATCAATGCGGATCATGTCATTCTTCTTAACCGGTGCACTTAGTGGCCTTCCTTGCACATGTCCGAACAAAATCAATCTCATTTAATTTCCACTGGGTCAACCATCTCACAAATCTGTTCATTTCTAATCTATCATTTCTTCTCTTTCAGCACATCTATCTCAACATTTGTTTTTCTGCTACACCAACTTTATGCATATGTTGTTTCTTAACTGTCCAACATTCAGTCCCATACAATATATTAGACACACTCACTCCTCCATTTAACCCATATTGCCTTAATTTTATGATTACATATGTTAGAGGATTTAAATGTTAAAGTTACACCGTCTCTATAGCTTAAGCTTTTAGAGAAGACAGTGGTCAACAACATCCTCTTCAGTTTCTCCCTTATTATGAATAATTGAGACTAAACATTAAGTTAGTTTCATCTTCCGAACTCCATGTTGCTTCTTTTAATATCCCACTCTTAACAAATTCAACTTTCCTCCTCTTAAATTTCACCTCTCAGTGCTTGGCTTTGTACTTTCCTTATTGAATTGTCCTTTTATATATGCATCTAAAATTATTAGCCTAGTTGTGATGTTAAACTCTCTCCTAGGACAACCTTACAATCTTTGCATGTTAATTGATGTATCTTTCTAGTTGCAATAAGTCGATTTGACTCAGATTTAATCCACTTTTAAAGGTCATTAAATGTTCATCCCATTTAAATAGGTAGTTCCAATCACATAATTATGTCATTATAAAGTCTAAGATATCCTCCTCAGCGTCATTTTTTATCTTCTTATTTGTGTCTACCATGTAACATTTCACACCCTCCAAGTTTTTTTCGACATGATCATCAAAGTCTCTTTCTATATATAATTTTTTCCCTTCAGATATTCCTCAACTTATTTCATCCATATGTTCCCATAATAGTGGTTTAATGTAACACTCAACCTCGTCATTGAGGAGGAGAGATCATAGCATATGCGCTAATGCCCATTGGTTTTATCAATGATTATTCCTACTCCTTTTCTGTGTCTCTCTTTTCTGGTGTTATAAAGTTTATATAACAAGTTCTCAATTTTTCGAGCTTTTCTCTTAACAACTTAGTTTCTTGTATAAATAGTAATAACCCTCCTCCTAATGATACAAAAACCACAGATCCTAATTCCCCGTCATTCCTTACCACTTGCTAGAAGGGATTTATTTTCTCCTTTTTTTCTCAAGTCTCATTACGAAAAGAAAGTAGGAGAATATTTAGGCTAAACGTGTCCTCATACTTCCTAAATCAACAAGAAGTTTAGTTTATGGTCACTGGATGGAATAGCTGGGTTATTGATGGTTGGGCCTACTGGGGGCTGCCGTGAGTCTCATATGGAAGAGATTAGAGTCCAACAAGGTAGGATAATAGCTCTTGCTGACGGAACAAAGACAGGTATTTTCAGCATCATTTGGGCCTTTTGATTGTCATTCGCACCTTGGTATCTTGTACTAAGAGGTAGGAGCCCATAATATGGTGATGAGGGTACTGGAAGCAATTTACTTCTCTCTCTAAACTCTACCCTTCAAATGTGAAACTGTCACCAATGAAAATGAGATTTTTGAAAGGACTAACATTTTGGTGTATGCCACTTCCGAGGTATAGGTTCCTCAAATGGCCGACCTGACAAAGTTTAGACACATTCCACATTCTCAGACCTGACTGTATGCTTTCTGTCTCTTGTCCTATTTGCTGCCATGTCGCCATCTGGCCAGGTCATCAGCTTTATCCATTGATTCCAATGGTCAATTTCGCCCATCTGGCCAGGTCATCAGCTCTATCCATTAATTCTGATGGTCAATGTCGACAAGTCAAATTTCCACACCGTATAACACTGTGGTCATGTTCTCAGACCAATTAGCAGCCTTCAATCATTTAAGGCTTTAGGGGTATTTTCTGTGATCTTTGATATCTTGAATCTCAGATATGTTCTTTTGTGCTCACCTCAGCTCTAAGCCATTGCCCAAACTTTCCCAGTTTCCTTGGAGCTTCTAGGTTCTCAAATTCCTCTTCAATATTGTAGGGAAAGAGCTTGGCTTCGTGCCCGATTCTTCCACAAGATTAACAAAAAGTGCGGAAGATGCTCATATGAACTCTTTCACAGTGGTTACCACATTCCTCACCGGTACTCTAGGTATGACTAGTGAGGGTTTCTTCTGTCCATTTTAATTCTGTGATTTTCACGGGTGGTGAGGTTTGGCATTAAGGACACCGGGGTTAGTGATATTTAGGGTGTCTTATTTAATTGAAATTTTTTGAGTGGTATTGTCGTCCTATGAAAGTGAAGGACTAGGGGCATTGCTAGTGCATGGTAAAAACCCAAGTGGCTGAGCGTGAGAATGAAAATTCGAGTCTAAGAGAAGTCACATTATACAAATAATGCCATCGGTTATATGTGTTTCCAGTCCAATCCACCCCCTCCTAGCACCATCGATTAATTAGGACCACTGCAACTTCCTCGTCTTCGGCCTCAGCCACAACTCCCTCATGTGGTCCTCGTTCAATCCACAAAGTGAACTTGAAGAGAATCAAAGATGAATAATCACAATGAATTCATTGTCTAACAGAGAGAAGTTGAAAGTTTTGGTTCTAATGATAACCAAAAACCCAACAAGTCATATTGTTTGGAGGTTAAAATCATCATTTCATATTTACAATTTTATGCTTTTAATGACCAACGGGCCAGTGGCCTAGCGGTATCAGCCTCTTACTTCCCAAAGGGAGGTCCGGGGCTCGAGTCTCAGAAGAGACGTGTGTGTGAGTACCAACTAGGGAAAAAAAAAAAATTATGCTTTAAATTAATATTCATAAATTGAGGGCAGTGTCATCATTTACCCTGAAACTAACCGTTCCGTAACAAATTGGCCTTCTTTGATTATTTTTGTTAGTTGAGGGGGTATTTTGTTAGTACAGAGAGTTATATGAGGTATTTTCATAGTAGAGGGGGGTTTTGAAATTATTCCTAAAAAAACATCTCGACTCATTTGGAATGAAAGAGCTTGAGCTTGAAAGTTTATCTTAAACTAGACAAGCTGTAACATGCTTGAACATAATTAATATCTTACTGAGCCAGCTTAAACAGAAAAGTAACAGTAGACTACTCTCATAATTTACAGCACCAGCACTATGACATTTGATAGTAATGTCACAAATATTTATTTATTTATTATTATTATTTTTGATAAGTAATGTCAGAATGAAGTCATTAAAGTGCTAGGTTCAAGCCTTATTTTGTGGGTCATATTTTATGTAATGTTAAACACATAGTTTAGGCTAATCTACTTATCTATCAGGTCCATCCAATCTCAGACCAGTCTCCAATGCATATATACGTAGTCTGAGCCTGGACGAGGATTTTACAATTAGAACTGAGCTACATGATTTAAGTTAAGCTACTTGTTAGTTCATTCACAAGAAGAAGATCCAACTGACTTGATGATGGACTGGATCTCAAAAGACAAGAGACTTTCATAAAGACATATAAGAAACAGAGGTTAATGAGAGGCTTATTTTCATCAAGATTTAGTGGAAGTAAATTTTAAAGCAGAAAATAGCACAAACACTTCCAAAGGAAAGCCTTGTCATATTCAGACACCACACTAGACACATTTCGCTGACACCTCTGGACACGTGGATATACCTTATCTAGAAAATTTCTTTACAGAACAATGGGAACATGTGGGAGGCAGCAGTTGGAACTATTTGAGAGCTGCTATTTTTTTTCTTTTACATGTAGAAAAAGAAATCATGAAGTCCTTCTGTAAGATTATTGAAAACTTTAGACCATTCTTAGAATAGAAATATGAAAAAATGATGGTTTCAATAAAAATAAAAAGGGGAGCGGAAGTGCTGATACTAGAAATAGTACTTTATGCAGAAAGAGATGTGGTGATGTCTCCTCAAAGCATTCATGTAGTGCATTTTAAGAATTACAGAGTTGGCATGTCATATCATGTAAAAATGATGTCTGAAGAGCACGCAATATTATCACTCCTGGGACAATTGACTCCAGACACACTTTGTGCGTGCACCAGTCTATACATTTTCTCAGTTTGCATAAGTAAACCACCCATTGATTGCCCAAATTTGTGTTAAAAAAACAAAAACAAAAAGATAATCAAATTGTCCCTGTTTTAGCCAATCTGCTTAAATCAGAAAAATCTTACATTGATAATATAGCATGGTGGAAATTTGGAAAACAAGGATTACCTCCAACTCCAAAAGTAATGTTTTTACTGAAAGGAACAGCTTTTAATTCAAAACGATGCCCAGATGGAGCATGCATATCCTCTTCTAAAGCAAATCCATTTTTCCTGAAAAATGAATAGACCATAACATACATAACATTATCAACCATGAATAACGTGTCAAGCAAAAAGGGTAAATTTGGAAAGTAACAAAGCAGATAAAACCAATAAAGCATATACAACCAATTATAATCTAAACAAGAAATATCATAGTGGAATAACTTATCACTTCATAAACATGATTTTGGATATCTTTCTATCATGTGTTGTATGATGACCTCAAAAGGATATGCTTAAGTGATCATATGCAGCAAAAATGTAATGGCTGTCTGGGGTGTAAGAAAATTTCAATATGCGGTCAAATCAATTGCAATTATTTCAAAAAAAAAAAAAGGGAAGAAGAAGAAGAAGAAGAAGAAGAAGAAAACTGAAAAAAGAGTGACTATCATCAGTTGCCAACTGAAAAAAGTAGGAGAGCATCAATACTAAAAAATAGAGTGACTATCATCAGTTGCCTACTGAAAAAAGGATTTTTCTCCCGAGAGGCAAAAAATAAAAATGCTGCAAAAAAATGAAGCCCAACAATTTGTCATAACAAGAAATAAAAATGTACAAGGGAAACAACAGATAACTGATTGGAAATTTGAGTAAAAGGAAAAAATATTTAAACAGATGAAGATTGCACCTGATTGTATCCATGTGCATGGAAGCAACTATTTCTTCTTCAGGAGATAGCTCCAACCTCAATGGCCTACATATAAAAAATAGGAAGACGGGCATCAGAACTAATGTCTAGTGAAAGAAGGGTTTGAATAAGTTCAGAGAAATAAACGATCTACTGCAATGAAAAATATTTAACTTTAAAGATCATTAATAATAGTATTTAATTAATGTGCATTCCTTTACAAAAATATTTTATCTTCATACCAAGTGCTTCTGAGTAATGTCAAAAAGAAAACTATAACACCCTAGATGCTTCAGAGAAAGGACATAAAGAATAGTAAATACTATAACAGTCATCTCTCTCTATATCCATCGACTTACTAGTACAAGATATAGTCACTATTGTTATATAATCTTCTTCGTGCTATGATTTGCCAGACAAATATATTCACACAGCTAAATTTCAAAAATTAGAACAGCATCTAAAAAGGTTTGGTCTTAATCAAATACGGTTGAAATGTTTACTAAAGTAGAGGAGATTCTCTAATTTTAGAAATTTGCCAATGACATGCAATAGAAGGGCTTTACCACATTGTTGCAATGCAGTTAAGCTAATTGGCATGATACATCCAAAGATACCCAGATACAAATGGGACAGGCTAACAGAATATGGATTTTAACAGACTGAAGGGTTCCAATTTTTCAACTAGGGAGCGAAATATGTCTTTTAATTGACCTCTCAACTTTCCTCTGATGTAATCCTTGTCTTCCAGGAATGTTCATCCTTTAGAGCAATAAATTAGTTTCATACATGAGTTCAGGTTAGAATTTCCAGAACTGAGATTACAGAAGAACTGAACATGAGTACTTCTGTTTGTGCTTGGTAAAATACATGCATGGCTCTCCGTCAAGGGGGTGGGGGGTTGGTGTCCCGTGATAGACAGATTTGAGAGAAAGCTTGCTGGGTGGAAGAAGCAGTATCTTTCGAAGGGTGGGAAGGTCACTCTTATGAAGAGTGCGTTGCGAGTCTCCCTAAATACTTCCTCTCTTTTTCAGATCCCATCCCCGTGGCTGGGAGGATTGAAAGACTTCAGCGGAATTTCCTTTGGAGAGGTTTGGGGAAGGAGTTCAAATATCATCTTGTTCGTTGGAAGCAGGTGTGTAGACCTATTCAGTTGGGCGGCTTGGGTACTAGGAGGTTGATTCCTTTCAACAGGTCTCTCCTAGGAAAGTGGTGGTGGAGATTCGGAGATGAGTGACATTGGCTATGGAGGAGGGTCATTTCTTGCCGTTATGGGGAGGAGAGAGGTGGTTGGTCCTCTCGTGGGTAGATCAGCTGGAGGTGTTGGTGTTTGGAAATTCATTTGGAAGGGTTGGGATGAATTCTCCAAACACTTGAGATCCAGAATTTGGGATGGCAGGGGCATTCGGTTTTGGGAGGATGTATGGTGTGGCGATCGTCCGCTGGCCTGTTCTTTTCCCAGGCCTTGGTTGCCGACTTTTATCGGCTTGATAGCAGGAGGATTATTTGGGATGTGCGATTTCGGCGACATTTTCAAGACTGGGAATTAGACGACGTCTCTGGTTTTATGGATCTCTTCTATAGACAGGAGTTTGATGGCCTAAACTCCGTTGTTTGGTTGCCCTCTTCTCAGGGGAGATATGAGGTTCATTCCTTGTTTTATTGCCACTCCAACTTTTCAAGTGCTGATTTTCCTTGGAAGACAGTCTGGCGCTCGAAGGCTCCTCTTAAAGTGGCCTTCTTTGTTTGGACTGCAGTTTGGGGCAAGATATTGACGCTTGATAACCTGAGAAGGAGAAGATAGATTACCATCAAGTTGCTTGTGTAAGAGAGATGGAGAGTCAGTGTACCATCTCCTTTTGCATTGCCATGTGGCTTATGACTATTGGAGTCTTATTTTTGGCTTGTTTGGGGTTCAATGGGTCATGCCTCAGTCTTCAAGGGGATTAATCAGCACTTGGAGACGATGTTTCATGCCCGTGACTTTTGAAGGGCGGCACCCTTTTGGATATGGTGGTGCATTTGGAAAGAGCGGAATAGAAGATCTTTTGATAGGGAGGAATCTTCCATAAGTGCTTCGCAATTTCTTATTTTTAGCTCTTTTTAGTTGGGTGATGGTGAGAAATTGCAAATCTTTAGAGTATGTTGATTTTTTGGTTCCTTTGGTCCATAGGACCATTTCTTTTGGCTTTTGCCTTTGTGTATTCTCTGGGATGCGTTCCCCTTTTCAACACTTTCTAATACGTCTTTACTTATAAAAATATATATACATGCATTTTGCCCGTGTCTGTTGTCTTTAATGATTAATATTTAAACGAGTAGGAAATCACAAGCAGTATTCATGCATGAAGTGCCAACAATTAAATGAGTAAGAAAGAAAAAATATAAATAGTGAAGGTCACTAGTAAAAATGCATATATAGATTTTTTATTTTTATTTTTATTTTTTATTTTTATAAGTAAAGATGTATTAGAGAGCGTTCAAAAGGGGAACGCATCCTGTAGGCAACACAAAGGCCAGAGCCCAACAGAAAAGGTCCTACGGACCCAAGGAACCCAAAAAGTCAACTATCCCCTCTATCAAATTACAATATGTCCCCTTCGCCCACCAAAGATGAAAACTAATAATAATAAATTTTAGAACCCCAATGGAAGATTCCTCCCCATCAAAAGATCTTCTATTCCGCTCCTTCCAAATGCACCACCAAACGCAAAAAGGTGCCGCCCTCTAACCATCACGGGTATGGGATCCCATGGAACAACCTCTCCAAGCGTCAATCAATCCTCTCGAAGACTGTGGCACAACCCACTGAACACCAAACAAGCCAAAAATAAGACTCCAACAGTCGTGAGCCATAGGGCAATGCAAAAGGAGATGATCCACCGACTCACCATCCTTCTTACACATGCAACACCAATTGACAGTAACCTGTCTTCTCCTTCTCAAGCGTCAAAATCTTACCCTAAACTGTGATCCAATTGAAAAAGGACACTTTGAGGGGAGCCTTCGAAAGCCAAATCGTCTTCCAAGGAAAATCAATCCCTGAGAATCCGGAAAGGCAACAAAATGTGTAATGTACATCAAATCTACCCTGGGGAGAGGGCACCCAGAAAAGGGAATCAGAACCTCCACAATCTACCACCTGTCTATACAATAGATCCAATAACCCAGAAATGTCATCTAGTTCCCAGTCTTGGAAATTTCGATGAAAGTGCGCATCCCAAGAAAACCTACCGCTATCAAGCCGATAACAGCCGACAACCAAGACATGTCTATCAATGATTATCCTGAAAAGCCTAGGAAAAAGACAAGCCAAAGAATGATCACCACACCATATATCCTCCCAAAATCGAGTACCCATACCATCCCAAACTTTAAATCTGATGTGTTTTGAAGAATCATCCCAACCCTTCCGAATTAATTTCCAAACACCGACTCCTCCGATAGATCTAGACGCATGAGAACACCATCCTCTTTTCTCCTCCCCATAGTGACATGAAATAACCCTCCTCTACAATCGATGAGGCTCACCTCTAAATCTCCACAACCACTTGCTAAGGAGGGCCCTATTGAATGAGAGCAGCCTCCTAATGACCAAACCACCGAGCTGAAACGGTCTGCACACCTGCTCCCAACGAACAAGATGGTACTTAAACTCCTCCCCCAAGCCGCCCCATAGAAAATTCTGCTGAATCCTCTCAGCCAGAGAGAACGGGATCTGAAAAAGAGAAAGAAAGTATGTAGGAAGACTCGACAACGTGCTCTTCATAAGGGTGACCTTCCCACCCTTCAAAAGATACTGCTTCTTCCACCCAGCCAATCTTCTCTCAAACCTCTCAATCACGGGTTCCCATCCCCCCACCGTCCTCGACGGAGAACCCAACGGCAGCCCCAAATAAGAAATAGGAAAGGAGCTAACCCCACACCCAAGCACCGATGCAAGAGAAGCAACGTCACGAACCTCCCCCACAGGAACTAAAGTGCTCTTCCCCACATTTACTGTCTTATGTCAAATTTATCCTAGGAAGCACGGAAACGCCTAAGAAGTTGAAGTGTCCATGTCATACATGTGTCAGACGCAGCCTGACAAATATTGGACACACCAAAGAACATGTCTGAATATTTTTCCTATTCAGATACGCGATGGACATACCGTGGACACACGCTGGACACACCTACACTCTGCAGCCTATATAGTCGAAGGGAATATTAAAAAAACATATATATTTGAAAAGAGATGGGTTAAAGTATAATATATGTGGAATTCTTTGAGAAGTATCAATAATATGGGGGAAAGAAAAAAGAGGTTTTTTATATAAAATTTATAAAGCAATTTTATTTACTTGATCTTTTCATGCTTATTACTTGTTTGAAATTGTAAAATATCACAAATGGAAAATGGTACGAATATTGTCTTTTATGTAACCAAGTTTTGAACTTGCTATGACCAACCATCAAAATTGAATTTTCTGCAAGCCTTCTTCTTCTTCTTCTTCAATTAATCCTTTTTCTCTATAGTTTTTTCCTTTTCTTTTTTGTCCTTCTTCCCATCACAACCCCTTTCTCCTCTACAGATTCTCTCTTTTATTATATATATATATATATATATATATATATATATATCTATATCTCTGATAAAAAAAATATCTATTTATTATTTGTCATGTTCCTGCCGTGCCAGTCATCATCATCCTTACCTTGATCCCATATGAATGGGGTCAACCACATGAATTCTCTCTTCAATCTTTTCTATTACATGCCATTTCACCTACTATATTTAACTTTTTAGAGTCATTTTAAATAACCTCAAACCATATTATCTTTGGTTGCCCTCTCTTTCTCTTGCCTTCTATTACAACTAGTCTCCTCCGATGTATGAGTCCAAACCATATAAGCCTACTCTCTCTAATTTTCTTACCAATAGGTGCTACACCTAATTTCTCTCTCCCGCTTTCATTAGTGATCCTAACTCTTCTAGTCACTCAACTCGTCCATCTTAACATTCTCATCTCTACTACATGAAGGCATTGTTCTTGTTTCCTTTTTGGGGCAACACTCTGCTCCATATAACATAGTTGGTTTAACAACGATCTATAAAAATTTCCTTTTAGCCTATGTGTTAGTTCTTTTATCAAATTATATTCCACTAGCTTGTCATCCATTATATCACATAATATGTTCCCGCCGTGCCAGTGTCTTAATTTTTTAAGATTTTTTTGTCATGCCCTTATATGTACTTCTTAGCCTTCACCACTAGGGCAGGAATGCCTACTGGATTACATAGTCAAATAGTAATCCCTAAGCATGGAAAGAAAGCTAGCTTAATTTCCTAGATTCGAACAGTAGAAGAAAAAAAAAATTCTTTCCGGTAGAGATTTCAGAAATATGAAGAATAGATTGGATGTTCTCTAGGTGTCATCAATATTCAATTTATTAGTTACACTATACTACCTAATCCGAGTTCTGAAAAATACGAAGAAATTCGAAAATGTTACTTTAAAAGACAATTAATTCCTCACCGAAGCAAAGGCTGTTGGTTCAAGATGGTCAACTGTGACAAACGCTCATAATTGTATTTCTCATCTGCGGCATGCTGAAAAAAGAGAGAAGTATCAATTTTCTATTTAAAAACCAAAAAAAAAATTAACTAAGGAAGCAACGCATGATAAAAAGAATCAATGCTCCACGTGTTTATCAGTGATAAAATGCCACTGCAAATATGTTTTGATGCAAAAAAGCAGTTCAGAATCATGTTCGAAATTACCTGATCCACAATAAATAGGTCTTGATCTAACTTCCCAATGATAAAACCAAGATTGAATTGCCCAATTACCTATACAAAAAATATATATATATAATAATAATAATAATAAAAGAAGAAGAAATGTAAGGAAAAGAAGAAGAAGAAGAAATATAGTTTGTCAGTACATGAACTTATATTGAAGTCTGCTGAAGAACCATGATTAAAAGAAGATGCATTTACCCTAAGATGCTAATGAGGACACTTGTAAGGAAAAAGAAAAAATAAAATGGCAGATGATGAATCAGAAATGGGACACAAGTGCAGAGTCTGCCCTAATACCAATATATTCAGGGACAATCTTTAACTTATTCCAAAACTAGTTGCAGGCACAGAACTTCAAAATAAAATCGATCCCACCAACTGTAAGTCTTATACTTACCATAATTTGAGAAGGTTTAATATGTTACCATAGAAATCAGGCATTCAATAGTCATTAGCTGTTTGAGGAAAAGCAGTAAGAAAGGCAGCAACTTATCCAGAAAAACAAGCACAAATAATCCCACCATTGCAAATATTATTGAGTTTCTAACTTTCTACCTGTGCTATCAAACTAAATTCACAACATTCCTAAAAAGGCAAATTTCCAGAAACAACAGACCTTTTAATCTTCACTAAATGATTATAAATGAGAACTACTTTTAGATCACACCTTCTAGGTGAAATTTATACGTTCCTATCAAAACTGTAAAAGGTTATACTTTACATAACAGCATGAACAATGAAACAGAAATCAGAAAAATATATACCAAAAACTCCGCCCATGTCATGCTTAGTGCCTTATCTTTACACAGTCGGTCCAAAGCATGAAAAAAGGAGGCGAATTGTGTTAAGTAGCTTTGTTATACGAACATGAACCTAAATATCATGTGGTTTACCTGAGTTTATGAACTTAAACATAGCGAATGACACAGCATAATTTAATTCATGAAGCCCACCCATATAATCAGGAAAAAAGGCTTAGTTGAGTTGAGTAGTAGTGAGGTTACTATAACTTAGTTAGCAAATTTCATAATAGAAGCCCAGGCAGGTAAGTTTTATTTTATTTTCAAAAGTTAGTTTGGTTAGTTAATTCAGAATTTACCTCAGATCCATGGACTACGGAGACACCGTATTTGAAGATCAAAAGGGTGAAAAAAGTAAATTCACCTCTTCGATCCATGGCAACTTTCGTGGTCCAGATCCATGGACTATGAAAACACTGAAAATAAATTCAAGGTCAATCACATTTCTAGGTTAAGATAAAATGAAACCCAATGCTTTGTTCGGTAGGAAGGAAGGAAGATTGGAAGGAAGGAACAAACTTCCTTCGTTCGGTAGAGAGGAAACAAGGAGAGAAAGGATAATAGGAGGGATTACCTCCTTTAGAAATTTTCATCCCTCCAAATATGGGCGGAAGAAAGGAGGGAAAACAAGTGGGGCTATTATAGAAGTTTTAAATTACTACTATCCTAAAGTATACAAACATAGTAAATTAATACTATCCTAAAATAAAACTTTCTCTTGCCTTCTCTCCTAATGAACACAGTAAATTGTAAGCTTATTCTCTTCTCTTCCATCCAACCGAACAAAAAGAGGGAAAGACACAATCTCTTCTCTAGGAATGTTTCATTCATCCCTTCTTCTCTCCCTTCCATCCAATTTTTTTCTTTCCTACCGAACGAAGCATAAGTGACCATCTATGGCCCATGTTTGATATTTGAAAGGCTCAAAATATAACGTGTTTTTCAAAATTAGGGTTTTGATTGTGGAAATTTTCAAAGAGATAAATTGAAATTATCAATCACTATTCTTGAAATAACAAAAAGGGTTCTGCCTTGATTGATAAAAAAAAACGCTCTAGTAAGTTTCAATCGAAGTCTTGATTAATTGAAACAGTGCCAATGGTTCTCGATCATTCGATCAGTGCAAAATATTACTGAGAAGGCTTTGAGATTCAATCAAGGGTTCTTAGTAGACCATTACATTGTATGTGATTGAGATATTCAAAGCATGTAGCAGACTGAAATCAATAAAGCAACAAGTCAACTGAACAATATGGTGAACATACCAGCAGGCCAGTGGCCTAGTGGTACCAAGCCCCTACTTCTCAAAGAGAGGTCAGGGTTTCAAGCCTCAATGGAGGCATGTGTGTGTGAGTACCAACTAGGAAAATATATATATATATATATGGTGAACATCAAGATTAAACAACCACGGAGAGCAAACTTGTGAATTGTCAAGTTTGTTGACCAGCAAAAACAGAGATTGTAAAGGATCTACTGACATATTCATGGCTGGACTAGGTTCCGGGTTTTCTGTTTGAAGGGTTTTTTATGTAAAAGATCTAGTGTCTGTGCTCTATTTTATTTATTAATTTTATGTGTTTGTGTGATTGCAATTGAGATGCATGATTAATTAACTGAAAATTGAATAAGGATTAAAGGAAATTTGAAAAGTTAGTTATTCACAATTGAATATCCATAAGACCAATTCATCGCTTTAGGTCTAATTAAACCGTGCGTACTCTGACAAATCAAAGCCTTTGGTGGCAACCCTACATATCAGAGTCTTAGTTGGTATTAGAGGATATTATAGAGTTCTCAATTAAGTACTAACAGTAAGTCCCAAAAGTTGGGTCAATTAAGACTTTGGTTGTCACATTTTGACCTATTTTTTGCTTGTTGGTCGTGGACCCTATTTAGTAATCTCTTGTAGCCCGATATATAAGGGTGCTTAAGATTTGGAGTGTGTCAATGAGAGAACACTAAAACTCGCAAAGAAAGAGAGTGAGTGAGAGCTAGGGTTTGGGGGCTGAAACTTGTAATCTCTTGTTTTTTGCATAGTGAAATCTTTCGTCGAATCTCCACAGTGGATGTAGACACAATTTGTGTCGAACCACGCTAGATCTTTGTGTTCTTTGTGTGTGGCGAGTTTACTTTTTGTCTTGTTTAGTGATTTGTTCTTGTTTCATTGCATTTGTCGTAATATATATTTTAGCTTTTGAGTGGTATTTTCAAAAGTTAGATTAGTTGTGTTACCTCAGTTCCAAGGGCAAAAGATGAAGCTACATCAAAGGGCAAAGAGGTATTTGCAACTCTCAATTATGAACTCACAAAAAGAGGTTCATGTTCATGTATATCATATAATTAGGGTTTATAAAATTACATGTTTGATGCATTAAAATCCTTTTTAGAATGCATATAAAGTGTTTTTGAAAATTTCCTTTATGATATTCCTAAACTCAAGACATAACACTTCGATCAATCAAAGGCTATTGGCCATATTTCGATCAAACGAAATATGGTTCAATTTATCGAGTTCTGCAAATTTAGTTGCCAATTAAACTCAAACAATTTTAACCCTTATTATGTTGTGACTCTAAACTCTATAAAAACCAATGCAAGCAATATACAACTACACTTGAGCATACTGAAGAGCATAGATAGCATCCATGAGTGCATTCTAGAAATTTGTTGCTAGATCTTCTTTCTTTCACATAGACAAGCACACAACGAATGCCTAGCATGGTTCCGGCACCTAGGCATACACCCACACCATCACAGGGAATAGGTCCAACCAAACATGTCAAGGCTGGCGAAAGGCTCACTTATCTTTCTCTGGCTAAAGTGGTTAGAAATTGGAACGACAGGGACATTAAGAGTTTTTTGTGAAAACCTTGTCCATACGACGATGATGGCAATGATGATGATGGAGTCCAACTTCGATCCAGCAACTTCTTAGGCTCGAGATACCCCCTCAATCCCCACCACACCTTCAACCACCACTCACTACATGCAAAAATAAAAGTTTGGACAGGACAAAACATCATCCCTGCTTGATGGAGGAGTGGTTTGGAATTGGGTATTAGTCATTAAAATCCTGAGGGTACAAGGAGAAATCAACATCAAAGTGCTTCTATACACGAAGACAAAGCCTAGATGTGACTAGTCATGGATATTAAAGTGCTAAAGGAGAAGTAGATTTCGTGAGGAGCAGATATGTTAGCGGGCAAAATAGCAAGAACTCGGGTGGAGCTTCTAGCTTAAGTCCGAGTGAAGAGAACTAGGGGATTCTAGGGTTTGGGAATCTGTATAACCTAGTTGTAAAATCTCTCATAGTGGATTTGATCTGCTTAAACTAGATCCCGTGTTTTTTTCCTTGGGTTTCCATGTAAAAAGAGCTTGTGTTCATGTGTGGTTTATTTACTTTATTTGTATGTTTTATGCTTTTACATATCTGCAAATATGAATGGGTTTTTAAATATGCTTTCTAGTTAGTTAAAATTTTAAATCCAGTTATTAGCAGTTTAATTTCAAGAATCTATTACAGATCGATATTTTATTTTCAAGATGTATTTAAGTTTAATTAGGCCTTGCCAATACTTTGACCATCAGAGTGTATGGTTTGATCAAGTATATAACCAAAACGCATTAGGAACAGACAGAAATCCATATTTTCCTTCCCATTGGCCAGAGTTACCAAATTGGTGTGTGTTGCATATGCAATCTGTATATAAATGGCAGAAGGTGCATGTGTCCAACACTATACATGGCAGAAGGTGCATGCTTGAACATGAACCTTCAATAGGTGGAAGTTGCCCATGCTTGAATCTAAGCCACAGAACCCACCTCTCTATTACCCACTGAACATACTTGAAGAATCTCCCTTCTCTTCCAGATTTCTCTCTCAGCTACCTGAGAATGCTATCCTTAAAATGACAAGACCTTGGCCTCTGCATCATTTGGGAGGCTTGGCAAACAAATGGCCAAACCCTAGCTTACTCATCTCGTGATATTATACATGTGTGTGTGTGTGTGTACACAGATAGGATTAATGGCCCAGGAGAGTGCTTCCTGACAAGGCGGCGACCTTCTACATCAACCCAGAAAATACATACACAAACACACAATATCAAGTCACCCTGCGAAGCAAACCTGTCATAGTGATCAAAATTGTGACTTGAGCCAATGTTAGAAGGTGTCTAAGCATATAACAGATCTACAGAAAAATAGAAGAAAATAACATGCAACCTTCATTCTGCTGAAGTCGTCCTTTTTGAAGAGCCTTTCCAGCTCATTAGTAGCTGCAGCTAAAGCACTTGCTTTCCTCTCCTCATTTACTGATTGAGAAAGTTCTAGTGTTGCAGCAGCGTAGCACCTATGCATGATCACTAAGAACTAAATCAGATATAAAGCAGACGAGTTTCAAACTTTTTCCTACTTCAGAAGGAAGTTTAAAGTTTGGACCTTTTAGTATTCATTCTTCCACAGGTATAGTTGCTGGATTGCAATCTCGAGAGCCTCTGTTTCCTTCTTGTCCTCAAGTCTTTGAAACTAAATTGCAAGGTAGAACATATCTTTAAACCAGAAGAAGGCGATGGAATATCTAAAGATGAACCAGAAGGTTGTAGTGGAGGAGCTGCATCTGGAAGATCTTCTGACATATTTATGAAATTTTCACTAGTTGAAGCAGTTAATTTCACATCAGCAAGAGGCAGTGCGCTCTCCTGATCTTTTAAACCCTGAAATGAATCATTTTTCGACTTGGAAGCAGAAAGAGATATACAATAACTAGAAGCAACAAGTAGATGATGAAAAGTAATCCATAAGTACATAAACATCAGCTCCTGCCAGATAATGATTTTTATTGATATTTAGAGTAACCTCTACCAAATATTGGTCCAATCATCACTTAATTAAGTCCCCACCTAGACAAAACAAAATACAGACCCACATACCTCTCCAGATTCTCTATTGTTTGTGTCAGCTCTGGAAGAAAGCGGAATATCTCTTTCGTTAAAGACATTTTCTTTTCTGAAATACTTAGAAGATTCAGGCTCATCCTTGTTAATTTCAGCAGAATCATCAACCTTGTGACACTTGACTGGAGATTTTGAACATGCAGCATACATATCAGAATTATTTTTTCTCTTCGATTGGCAGAGAATAGGCCCGTTTCTCAATAGAGGGACTTCAGATAATGTTGTGCAAGGTTTTTCAAGCTTTTTCTTACTTACAGTAACAAATTTGGTAAGCGATGACTGAACAATACTTGAACGAGTAGGTGAATCTATATTTTCAACAGTTACATTCTCTATTGCTCTCGAAGAGACTGCAGCATGTCGATCACTTGTGTTACTATTGAGATGATCTGTAGGTTGTCTACCAAGGCGTCCAGAAAAGCTACCAGCCTTCTTAATGCCATGGGTTCCAAGTGTAAGTCGTTCCTTTGTTGAACATTTATCATCATTATCAATCAACTCTACAACAGGAGGACCCCTACTGCCCTCTTTGCCTGTTGTCAAATTTGTGTCACCATCTATACATTGTTCCTCGCTGTACACTTTCGCTTTAGGATTACTGCCATATGGAGATGATTGTTTTGATGACAACTGTGATCGCTCGAGATGAGAATACACCTTGGAGGTATTTTCTTCAGTATTGGGCTCCTCAAACTTGTTAATAGAATAACTTACATGACTTGGTGAGTAGATCTTTTCTAAAGCTTCTCTCAGGGAGTGCAAAATGGAGCCCTCGTCAGAGAAGAATATTTTTCTTTTGTCTGGAGTTACATTGACATCACATGCTTTAGATGGAACTGTAAAATTCATGATTGCAATTGGATATTGCCTGGAGTTTGCACCTTTATATAACTCATTCACAAGTTTGCCGACTTTAGGCATATCCACTGGCCGACAGTTCACAAAAAAGAACTGCCTATCTCCTAAATTGCGACCACTACCGTTTCCAGACTTAGAAAGAAAACCATCAACCTTGCAACCGTCTGATATACATAAATTCACAGGCTCTAAGCAGGTAAATGTACTCATGCCAAACACTGTTATGATGTTATCTTTAAGAGAACCACTTCCTTGTGTTTTGAGTACTACAGACTTCACATTTTTTCCAGTTGTGTTGGTGCAAACTAAGCGAACTCCTTTTGCGATAATGGCATAGGCCTGCGGGAAAATCAAAAGGGAGTTAAAAAAAAAAATAAGATAACTTCAATAAATGCGCATTTTCACATAACTCAAAAAGCATAGTGTTTACAGGGATATTGATCTACTTGATCATCAGATATCTTTATTCTTATCAGTTTATAACTCCCTAGTCAAGCACAGTACACATGAAAACAGATAAAATGAGAGAAAACTAATTACGATGGTTTGTTGGTCATTTGCAGCAAAGATCAATAATCATCCCGAACTTACGGATGAAGAAGAGTGGCATACCCACGTTGAGGAAAATATTAGGGTAAGAAGAAAACCAAAGTTATTACGGATTGAAATAGTAAGGAACAAAATGGTAGCGGGTGATTCATCTAAATCTATAATAATCGATCAGCGGAATGGCAAAGTACAATTCATGTACTGTAACCGAGACTAAATAGTTGGGGTATGATTTTGACTGGTTGTGTTAAGTTGAACATATGAATAAATCAACAAGCAGTATGCACCATGACAGTAAAATATAAAAGCACAAGCTATCCTCAAATCATTATCTCAAGCGTCATGTCATAACTCTAACTGTGCAACATTTTGCTAGCTGAGGAGGTACAACTTAAACATCAATGTCAAGAATTCTTACATAGAGCACTCATACTAAGACATGATAGCACTGCAATATTCCAGGGGTCCCAAATAAAAAACTTGAAATTATAAACAAAATAAATGAATAAAGCAATAATTCTAGCAATATAAGAAGTCGTAATTAGATGGTGCTTATTATGACAAGAGTCACACTTTGAATCCCAAATACCAACTAAGATTTCTGATAAAACTTCATTGTGGAATGACACCATTGCTACACTTGGGTATGAAATTGACTCAAATTAAATTTCAGAAATTCAATCTCGAAAAGAGTTGGATTCCTCCAAATTGTGAATATACTTTATCTCCAGTTGAAAGATAGATCAACTTTTCCCCTCATCCCACCACAGTATTACCAACATAGCCATGGTCAATGTTCACCATTGCAACACCATAGCCCCAAACTTCTGCAACTGATACCACTTTCAACCCCAATAACATTAACCTGTAACTGAAATCTGTACTTCCACATGGTGACTATTGCCAAATATGACCACAGAACCACTACAAGTACAACAAATCTCCACTGCCGCTATCATCATTGCAACACCACCACCGACCTTGCTATTGCCATTGCCACTGCCATACCTACAATACCATTTTGAACTGAGACTAAATTGACAACAAGATTCAATTATTCACTTAATTTCTGATCTTGTGTATTACCAAGTGCATGTCCATAACACAGGTTGCTGGAAGGAGTAATTGACTGCTGAGTTACTTACCCATCAAGGGAACAAGAAAGAAGAAAATTTAACTCTGTTGGAGAATGTCATTATAGGAGTGTAGCCCTTGATAGAATATTGATAGGAGTGATTCATGGGATTGATTTTAGGTATCTTTCCACAAATATATTTCTCATATTTATTACATATTTGTATTATTTCACCTATAAATAAAGGTTGTCATTGTAACAAAATTAATAAAGAATACAACGAAAGAGATCTAGCCCTTTGGGCTTTGTGTGACTTGGATGTATGCCGTAGTGGCCGAACCACTTCATATTCTTGTGTTCTTCAAACTTCATTTTTCTCTTCAATTTTATATTTCTTGACATGGTATTAGGTTTATCATACCCTAATCTAGACTCCTACTAACAAACCATTTTCATTGTCTCAACTCCGGGGGTTGGCTTTGCAAATGTGGCAATGCACTAACAAATTTAGAATTTTTTTGTGTTTTTGGCTGGGGTATGTTTGAAGGATGCTGGAGAGGGAAAAGGGTATTTGGGGGCAGAGGACGGCAGGAAAGATGCAAATCTGATCCTTGGCAGCTGGTTTAAGGCATAGCAAAGATAAATATACATTCAAAACTAGATTAACATGACAGAAAAGAATGTCTCACATTCAATAAAGAAATCAGCTTTCCATATTCCTTACGAATGTTGCGACGAAATTCTTTGCTCCGCACTGGCAAATTAGAAAACAGCTTCTTCACAGTGACAGTAGTACCAATTTGACGTGCCATTTTCTTTTCAGCTGTTAGAAGACCAGAATGGTCGAAGGTCAAATGTGTAGCAACTGGTTCATTTTTCGTTCTCGTTTCAACAGTCAAATCCCCTAAAGCGCAAAGGGAACTCAGTGCCTCCCCTCTAAAGCCAAAAGTTGTTAAAGATTGAAGATCAGGAAAATCTGCCAATTTAGAAGTATGATGCTTCAGTGCGAGAACCTGCAAAATGGAATGCAAGACACCGAGTCCCAAAATGACTGATAGTACATATTACAAAAAATACTATAGGGTCTATCAAAATCCGGAGTAAACAAACAAATTTTGAAGGAAACAACAATTGGGATGACAAAAATAAAAATAAAAAGCTACTAAAACTCATTACTCTGTCCCAAAAAGCACTAAAACCTATGCAATCAAAACGAACACAAATCTGTTGATCAATACCACATGCATTGAGCTAAACCAAATTCCTTATCCATGACAAAGATGCAAATGCTATAGATAAGAACACGGAAGTCTTCAAAAAAAAAAAAAAAAAATCACGAGCAGATAAACATAATGAAGCAAAATTCAACACCGAACACCTTGAAATTATGAGGCGAAATGCCACAACCATTGTCGATGACCTGGAACCATTCTTGGCCGTACTCTTTCAAAGCAATCTCGATGCTGGTAGCCCCTGCGTCCAAGCTATTCTCCACCAACTCCTTGACCGCGGCCGACAGGTCCAAAATCACTTGTCCAGCACAAATTCTGTGAACAACGCCCTTGTTTATAGCCCTAATAGTGGGGGAATCAGCTGGTGCAGCCACTCCATCCTCCATTGAACTCAATCAAATACATGGAACTCACATACTCACCTCTCACCTGTGAATTGAACATTCATGAACAAAATTAACCGTAAAAAAATAAAAAAATAAAAAAATAAAAAATAAAAATAAAAAGAAAGAAAAAGAATTATTGATCGAGTGGTGCTTCAATTAGGAGAGATGAGCCTTACAATTTGATAAAAGGGGATTTCGCCAGATGGAACTTCGAATCTGTGAAAAAGGAAAATCTAATCGAGCGATGATAGAAGAGATTTGAAGATAGGGGGCAGTGATATATATATATTTTCCTGCGGTGAGTGACATGGAACCCTAGCTGACAACCGGCTTTTCAAGCTTTTGCCGCCAAAACAGCAGTCTTTATTGGGTGTTTCCCGGTAATGATAATATTAATCGTTTTTAAATAGTACGTGCAAAAAAATCCTCCTCAACTATATTAACCATAATATCATTTCTTATTGAATTATACTTATATTTTTCTTGTTAAAATAAATTATGAAAAAAATTCATACTAATTTGATAAAATATTCTCTATTAAATGTGCATAGTTTGTTTTAAATTTTTTAAATTAATTATTTAAATAAAAATCTTAAATATATAGAAAATTTTGAAATAATTTAAGTAATTTCTTAATTTTTATGAATATATTGCATTAAAAAAAAGATATTTTTTATTTACGTAATTTAATAATTTTTCATGAATTTTGTTTGAAAAAGAAGATTTATACTAAATTTTTTTAAAGTGAGTAAAATAAGTTTTATTATAATAAGTTAATCGTTTTAAAAAATGATAGCTACAAATTTATATATATTTTTTCATTTTTATAATAATTGATATTAATTATAAAATTAAGGTAAATGGTATAATTAATATTTAAATAAGATAAAATATAATAAATAAAAAAACAATTTAATAACAAATGACAAATTTAATAACAAATGGTAAAATAATATTTTGTGATGGGTTTGTCCTTTATTGCAACAAATCAATAGTTTAGGGGGGCAATCTTTAGTTCAGGGGGGTTAGTTGCAAAAAACCAATAATTCAGGGGAGTTTTTTATACTTTACCCTCTACTATATGATTATATATGGTATCTATAATTTAGGTAAAGTATACTTATCTCTTTTAAGATTTGGATAAATTACACATGAATATAGTGTTTGTTTTTTATTATTTTGACATTCCCTAAAAGTATAAAAATATCTTTTATGCCCTTTTTTTTTTTTTTTTCCTAAATGAATAATTTTTTTTATAGATATAACCTTTGCAACACAAACCAGTGTATCCCTTTCCCTTCTGTGATATGCAAACCCGATGCAGTATGACGTTTTTGGCTTACTACTCCTAGGAGGTTGGGGTCCCAAATGCCTTCAAACCTCCGGCCACTTTCTCTTCTCCCCAAGAAAGTGAAAAACAAAACCATCTTTGGTTGGTGACTGGGCGGAGATACAGTCCACGATAAGAGGTCTTTCGAGGGCTCGCGTATTTTGCAAGAAACCTCTTTCGAGGTTCCAGGAAATCTTTGGTTACGCCCGTACTCCTCAAACCCCTTCCTTCGAACTTCAGTTGGTTTAAAAGATAAAATAAAAGGTATGTAGTGCAACATAAAGTGAGGTTTAATGTACAGCGAATGAGAGGCAGACATGTTTTGTATGTAAAGAAATGAATGCATAATGACTAAAATGTCAAAAAAATTTGCTTGAGATTTTTCTCAAGGAGCGGTTTTTTTTTTGCATGTACTTGGCAATTATTGTAAAATTATTGACAAACATAAGTAACTAAAGTCAAGATATACACCCAGAATCTATTATAAATTTTGTAAGTCGTGCCCACATGTATACAACAATCATATTGAGGGGAATGGAAATGGAAGGTAACACAGAGTATGTAAATTGGCTCAAACCCACTCAAACTTAGGAGCCCTAAGCTTGTTTATCCCTAATGAAGTTGCCAACTGTCGTGCCCCGTTTTTTTCGCCCCTTCTTTCTCGAGGGGATCGGGAGAAAACCCCGCTCGAAGAAGCTTTTGATCCCTTCTCAGGTCGGGAAGGGTTAGAGCTGTCAGAGTTTTGGCATTTATGTGTGATCGATGTGATTTGGAGGTGAATTGAATTGATGGGGCCAAATTCAGAGATTTTGAGGAGTCGCCACCTAACATTGAGTTTTGGTGTGTTAGGTAATCAAAGATTGAGAAGAATTTGGATTGAATTTGGGGCACTGGATGATTCGCGGTCTGCTTCACCAAAGATGGGATTCGGAGGTTTCTTTATGCTTGGGGAAGGTGTTAGGCACCCCAAGACCTCCGTACTAAGTACGGTTACCTATACTCTGTGCTAAATTCCATTTTTATTCATATGATTGTGCGATAATCAAATAGGGGGTACATGCATACAGGTTTTTCAGTCATGTGTGGGTGGTGATGATGGAGATGATATGCGGTAAGATAGAGATTGAATGATGGATGATAGTCCTGGTGGAAGAATGATCACTTTAATGAGGGACATGACTGAACTTAAGGAGTGCCTTAAGCTACCAACGTATCCCAAAATATAGGAATCAAGTTAAAACGTAGTTCAGGATTGGTGCAATGGAATAGGGATGAGTCAATGTTGACTCCAAATGAGTTTAAGGAGAGAGGAATTGAACCTTGTGTGGTTCAAAAGGTGAGTTTTAGTGCCTCGGCCTGTAAGGGAAAGAAGCAAGCATCGTTGTGCCTACCTAGATGAGTATTGTAAGGGGTCTCCACCCGAAATGTTGATATGAATGTCACACAGAGGGCTCATGGTGCCTTTGAGTAGATGGGGGAAAACAGCTATCGAAGTGCCTACTTGGAGTAGTATTGTAAGGGGTCTCCACCCGAAAGGAAGATTGATGATAGACAGAGGTCTCATGATGCCTTCGAATGAGTATTATAGGGTCTCCACCCACGGTAAATTAAGTTGCAAAGATAGACAGGGATGTTTTGGCATCTATGAATGAGTATTGTAGGGTCTTCACCAGATGATGAAAGGATTGTGAGAAGGGGTGAGCGTTATGGTGCCCACGGTCGAGTATTATAGGTTCTTCACCCAAGATAAGGACGTTTCGGCATCCCTGACTAAGTATTATAGGGTCTCTACCCAAAGAGGTGATTAGGAGATAGGGACTTTTTGGTACCCCTGAATGAGTATTATAGGGTCTTCACCTAAATTTGTGATTCAAATGGACTGAAGGCAGTCGATATGGAGTAATCGCCTATTTTTGTCGGAACAATTCTAAACATTGTGCGGTCAAGGATACATTAGTAGTAATGATGATCCTAAGCTGGTCATGAAGCATTCATATTTCAAATGAAAAGATTCTGCATGATCTTTGGGTTTGTTGTTTGAAGATAAATTAAAGAGACATTTCCAAATTGTCAATCAATATTCTAATGACATACAACCAGTAAGCTTCTAGGGATATGGAGGGGTCTCATCGGTCCCACTTAAAAACCATAAACCTTGAGCCCGTAAGTTGGTGGATAAAGCTTTGATAGACATTATATTGCCATTAGACATATTAACGGACAAGATTATCCATTCATTCTAGGTATCTCCGAACAAGGGATGATGTTGAAAACTTATGTGCTCTCGGAATATGTGTACATGTGTATGTGTTTGTGCTTGTGTTTGCTTTTGGAAGAGTGATATTTATTATGCAATTTGATGTGATTGGTTGGTTAGATTATAATGCAAAGTGAATGTGTGTAATGTGTTTGTTTATTTTTGTGGCTTTGAACATGGAAATGGACACTTGATTTACAGGTCATTTAGTTGACTCGAAAATGCACACCTCACTTTGAAGTGGCTTTTGATGATCCAAAAATAGCCAAAATGGTCATTTTGTTTTGAAAAAAAAGTTTTTGTACTGGAAGTGGCCAAAAATGATCATTTCGGTAGGAAATATATTTTTGACGCCGAAAAGGCGCAAAATGACCACTTACCGTAAAATGGGTTTTTGAGGTATCAAAGTGATCAAAATGACCACTTTGATGTGAAAAAGGTTTTCGATGCTGAAAAGGGCAAAAATAACCATTTACTTAAAAGCGGGTTTTTTTAAAGATGCCGTAAACGACCGAATTGACCATTTTAACTAAAAATGATTCTAAAAGTGTAGAGGACTGACAAAAGTGATCTTTTGTAAAAAAAAAATGTCTATTTTCAATTTTAAGCCGGTTTTGATGTTAAAAATGGTCGTGGTCGACCGGGATGGTTATTTTTGTGTAGAAAAATGTAGTGAATGCTCGGTTTGATGGTTAAATGTTTGTGAAATGTTGAAAATGCCCTCGGGTGGTGGTTTCGAATACGAAAAGCTACCGGTAAATCCCCGTGAAGGGATAACCCTTTAGTTAACTTCTGAGAGACCGTAGTAACCTCACGAGAACCACCTTTTGCGTGTATAAAATCGACAACGACAACAAAAAGCCAAGAATATAGGATACGCGTATGCTCGGTGTGCGCTCATTTTACATCAATAAGTAAATTTAAATACATAAAGCATGTAAAAATGTAAAGATAAGCAATATAATAACAAAGAGAGCAATAATGGATATGAAATGTAAAACAAGGCCAAAAAGTGATGATCCCGAATACAGTGAGCTACCGGTTAGTCCCATGAGGGGATAACCATTTGGTTAGTTCCCAAGAGGTCGCAGTAACCTCACGAGAATCATCTTTTGTGTGTGTAAGGCCATCTATGATAACGGTAAGCCAAGAATGTCTTCCCGTTGTCATTGGATAGGCGTATGAAAGTGTGTGTGTATGTATTAAATCAAAAGTAAACTAATTAACTCAAAGCTTGTAAATATACACAAATATCAAATCGAAGAGAGCAAAAATGAACTTAAAACATGAAAAAAAATAAGCTAAACAAGACAAAAAAGAGAGGTAAAGAAGATCGTTACCCCACTTTGTTTTAAGTTCTTGCTTCGTTCTTCAAGTTTTTAATGACTGGTAATCTTCTATCTTAAAATGTAGAGCGAGAGAGGTAAAGTGTATGCGTGTAATTAGAGAAATAGTGTGTGTTCTTGGTGTTTGTGTGTGTTTATGTGTGTGTGTGTGTGTGTGTGTGTGTGTGTGTGTGTGTGTGTGTGTGTGCACGTGCGCGCGCGTGTGTGTATATATGGAGAGATAAAGGGTATTTCTAGAGACAGAGAGCATTTCTAGAAGTTGGTATTTTTTTTTGAAAAATAGGCCTTTGAAATGTGGGAAAATGGTTTCTATTTATAGACCAAGGGAGGACCAAAGGGCAAAATTCCAAGGACCTAAATGCAATAATACAAGGACCAAATGTGCAATTTCCTTGCATTAGTTTGCAATTTCCCGAAAAGTACATTTTGATCTGACGGAGAAGGA